ATATAAATTACTGAGATCTATAGTATTGAATCAGAGCTATTAATTTATGAGCACTCTCTGAACAAGAATCTGTCAAGTTCTTAAGATTACACACTGTCTGTCAACTGTTTATCATCTCAAGACTGATGATATGTCAGAACAGATAATTCAGATTATGAAGAATTATCTTTATAAGTTCTGTAATTACTTATAAGATGATTGATATGACCTTTTTCTACATACTGAAGTCACTATCAATGACTGAGATGCTATTTCAATAGATGTAAGTCTGTTCTTCCTCACACACAGATATTATATAAAAGTATTAAATCTTCTAGAGATTATACACTTCACACTGAATCTCTGCAGTTCAATTCAGATCACTTATAATATAGTGATAAAGCTCTGAGATATTTATAACTAAGTAGAAGTCTTCATAATAAGTGCTAAACAGAATTAAGAAGACTGAATTAATATTTACTGAGATTCTACTGAGTAATATAAGATAGAAGATCTGATGTAATTAAATCTTAAGAATATATGAATTATATATTCATCTTATACACTGAATTATTACTATATCAAATATAAAGTGATAGAAGTTCTAGACAGTTATAATTACTATCTTAACATATTATCAGAAATTTATAATATCTTTTATACAAGCTTACAAGTTACTCTACTATGCTATCACTGATCTATTCTCTTCTCAACTGACTTTTAATTGACAATTACCAGAGATCATAGAAGAAGACAATGAACTTGAGTGAGAGATTGAAGATATTCTTGATAAGAGATTTCACAGCTGTAGCTGATAATATCTTATGAAATAAGTTGACTATAATTGCCTGATCTGAACTCTGAGCTCTGTATTATTTAAGACAGCAGCTCTTAACTAATGAGAACTACACACTTTCAATTCTATATCACTTCTGAAAAGAAGAGACTAATGTGATAAGCTGTGTCTGATCAATTATATAGACTATTCTGTTACACTTCATAGATTTCTACTGTTTTAATTCTCAGTTGCTTCATAGATTTCTAATATTCTGATTCTCAGTCACTGATTCTCAGCTGAAAACCTATGAAATTTCTATTCTTCTGTCTCAAAGCTTCATCATGTACATCACTGTATACATGTATAAATATTTACTCTGATTACTGATTTTCACACTTTCTCTTTCTTTTTTTCTCTAACATTTTTCTCTTTGTTATATAAGATCTATATATTATACTGATCTATTCAGCGTAGGCCTCTTACAAATAATAATAATAATAATAAAGTATGAAAAGCTATAGTATATATTATATACTATCTTTATAATACTAAGAATCTAAGTATATTTTATAAGACTCTGAATGATAGCATGAGTAACTTACTGAATACAATATATATACTGATTAAATACACAGATTCTGACTGAGCTGACTCTCTTAATAATAATTATAAGTTTATATCTGAGTTTATTTTTAAAGTTGTGAGTATTTCTATATTATGATAATTTATCAAGTAATTCTGTATATCTCTCAGCTTAAATAAGGCTAAGTATATTACTCTTAGTAAGACAGTGTATAAAATAACATAATTATATAATATAATAATAAATTTAATATTCATTCTGAATAATCTGATTAAGATCTATATTAATAATAAGAGTTTAATTAATCTGATCACTATTAGACTAGCTGCTGAAATTATGAATTTTATATTTAATTTCATTTAATCTGATCTTATACATTTCTTGGCATGAATTTCACTGTAACTAATTATTAAAAAAACATGCAAAGTGACTATTCATCAGATCTCAAAATAAGATCATAACTTAGAAAAAATAAGAAAGTGATTTTATTTAATTTTATTTAGTCTCATTCTTAATATAAAGTTACTATTTTTAGACATTTTAAGGTTTTTTAGACTATTTTTAACTTTTTAAAAAGTAACACTTTTTAATAACACTTAAATGAGATTTAAAGTCATTTAAAGTAATAAAAATAATTTAAATTAAGAAGTGAAAATCATAATCTTATTTAAAAAATATAATAAGAGTAGATAGTAAGTCTTACTGAGACAGTATAAGACTACTACTTAATATTAAAACTATGTAATGAAATGAATTAAATTAATAATAAGACTATTAAATATTCTGATTCTAATCTCAGATATAATTATATAGTTAGTCTAATTACTATAATAATAGTGACTGTATACAGTAAGTATATTAATATATGATTTCATTTCTTATATACATAGCTGAATAAGCGAGTTATATCTTTGAAGTATATCTTTACTGAGAAAATAATAGTAGATAAATTAATTAAATCTCTGAGTACTATTATATTTCAGTAATTTCTTAATTTATTAAATCTTACAGACAGAAAGAGTCAGAATGCCTGAAATTAATATATATAGCATAATTTGAAAGAACTCAGAGACTGTATGACGGACTTTTCTATATAATGTTTAAAGATAATCACAGACTCACAGTGTTAAGATCTCAGATAGTGATGTGAGAGAGAGTGTAGCAGCAGCCGCCTTGATAATGTTGCCCTAGCAATCACTCCGCCTGCACGTGATCTCTTATGTTATATAGAACAGATTAACCTTTCCCACGTACAGGATTCACGGTGTAATCACTGTAAATTAACCCTATGTTCTTCCTGTATGAATAGAATGCTGCCGCGGCTAGATTAGTGTACAATCAACCAACCTTCCACCTCCATCAAATTCTAATTATATAAATAATCACTGAATAAATTGAATAAAACTGAATTTAATTTTCAGTCTCAGTTTCATTCTGATTTTTAAAGAATAATTATTTTTTATTATTTATTCTGAGAAATTACTTCTGTTTCATTATTCTTAAATTAAATCTGGTCATTTTTCACACTGTTTCTGAAAAAAATGATTCATTTTCAGATTTTTTTGATGCTAGGTCCTAATGGGACTCATGCTAAGAAATGTATGAGACCAGACCAAATGGGACCAAATGTGAAATTCATGGTCCCGCCGGCCAGTCTAGGCGGGAAAAGCAGACAAAGGCTCCTCTTCAGTCTACGTTGATTGGCTCAGGGAGTGAGAAGTGCCAATGGATCCTGTTACTCCATAGACGCCCAACGGGCCTGCCCTTGTCGCCGCTGGACTGTCCATGCCCATTGTATCGCCTAGGATCGCAGCAATCACCCTCGGTGAGCTACGTTCGGATTCCCATTCATTCCCCGACCGAGAGAGAGCATGCTAACCAGTTCACCCGCGATCGGGGACATTCCAGCATCATTGTCTTGTACGTCCTTTTGGGCGAGAGGTCCTGTAGAATGACTGCCCTGCTGGAATCGTAGCGTCCTTTGCGAGCGTTAGGCCCGGCCAACTAGCACGAGTTTTCCTCGAGTACAACCGGCTGACAGCTTCCACTTTTAGCTAAAAGTCTTGTATGGTGAGATGGTGCTTGTCTCTGCAAAATCTCCGCCGGCCAATAATAGGACAGCCAATATTCTCCCCCAAAGCGAATAACACATATTAAAGAATGATTAAAAATAGAAATATTACTTCAGTAGGTATCATGAACGTGCCAAAGGCTGATAAAAGCACGGCATCAAGGAAAACTCAGCTGGGGCCACTAGGCTAGAGGCACAACACGTCATGCTACCACTCCATCAAGCCAACCACCTAACTCTAGAGAGACAATGTGACCTACAGCCGAAGAGCCATCACTTTTAGCCCACAGTTGTTCCATATCTCTAATGATCTTGTCAATATAAACCCCAGCAGCACTAAGATGAAGGATAATACTGATTGCTCGATGGATTGCAAGTAGCTTCGCCGATGGTGGATCGATGGTCCGGTTTGGTGAGAGGAGGAGGGTTCTGGTAACCGGCAGCCCTTCTGGACGGAGAAACATTCGTTTCCCTAGAATCTATCCTGTAGGTGTAAGGTGGATGAGTAGAAGGATCCAGCGCCCCAAAATAGAATTTGAAGTCACCGAAAAGCTTGTGAATGTCGAGTGATAAGGTTATAGCATTGGCTGGGCGGTCAATATTCGAGCCCTTGATCAAATGAATCACCCCAGGAGCGAACATATTGAGGATTGCCAGGGTGGATTTTTTGGCTTCGCTCTAGAGCGCAAAACATGTTAGAAATGGTATGAAATGAAATCAGATCCGTAGACACGTACCTGATTGTCCCTGGTTGTTGACATGATTGAATGCGGGATGATATGTGCTACCTGGAGGTACGAAAATTGGCCAGGAACATAGACAAGCCGCTGTCCATCGTCGTCTCGTGCATTGGATCTGTCTCGGTTGACTCTCTCCGCCGCCTCTTCTCTATCGAAGACCCGGCTTACCACACACCGGTGATGGTCACGGATGAGACAATCACGTCGGAGAATCGATAGTCTGGCAGGAGTTCCAACTACATCCTCAAACTTGGCGGATAGAGCTGCTGGTATAGGTTGCGGTGTTTTATTTCCCGCAGCTCTCACTACACATGATTCACATGTAAGCAAGAGCTCATCAAAAATAAGGTAAAACGGAAATGAGAATGGAAAAAAGACTGTACATACACGGCAGAAAGAAATTTCCAAACAGAAATTCCGCAAACGAATCCAAGACTCCCTCGACCTCCCTCTGCTTTGATGGGAGAGAAGATGGTCCGAAGTCAGGAAATCGAGACACTCCACTAGCAAAGGTCGGTGATTCATTATTTTCACGGAACTAGAAGCCAAGATAAATGAAGAACTGTTGCAAGAACTTGTCCTTTGATTCTGAGTACTCATACGTTAAACGAACAAGCGTTACTTTCTTATACGGGTGAGCGCTTTGTCGAGGTTCACAGTGGCTAATAAACTGGGAGAAGATATTTCCGGCCTGTGCCCGTTCCTCTGGAGTCAGAACCTCCTGCGGAGAGAGATCGAGAATGCGCTCGAGTGACGCCTGATGCCTGTGGTGAGCCATCATCATGAGATAAGCAGCTGGTTTGGTTTGGAAGGATAAACTAAACGGAAAAACTGTTGTTCCATCAAAGCCGGCGTACAAGCAAGCCCTAAAAGTTACCAGAGATACCTTACGTACACTCTCATACGCCCCAGAAACCATCTTCGTCCACAATCTCCGCCGCCGGCTGAATTTTGTCAATAACAGCAGCCACCTGGCCCATCAAAAAATGGATGATCAGCATCTTCAACTTCATCCTCGATATCCTTCGAATACGGAATGATGCCCTGCTTCATCAAAGCCAATATTTTCTCAGGCTGCTGTTCCCATCTCTTGATATAGTCATTTGCTTTGACCCTCATGGGCCTACCACTGAACATCAAGAGTCCGAACAGTATCATCAAAAGTAGCGGTGACAACTTCATCCTTATGAGTCTTAGAGCAGCCAGCTTCAATGGAGGCCACGAATCGAGTCCCGACCCAAACGCCCTGTGCCCCTTGCATTAAAGCAGCAGCCAAGGATCGTTCATTGAAAATCCCACCAGCCGCAACAACCATCGCTGGTTTGCCGGTTAAGGGTGAGATGTAATTCTTCGCAACATCACACACAGCAGGTACTAGGATAGAAGTCGCAATCGACCCTGTATGGCCGCCTCCTTCGCCACCCTGTGCGCAAACCATATCCACCCCAGCTTCCAGAGCCTTTTGCGCGTATTTCGGCGCACCAATCATATTCATAATTAGAATGCCAGCATCGTGCAGTTTCTTGATGACATGCACGCCAACAGCGGACACAAACAATTTTGCACCGCTGTTGATCGTGATATCTACTAAAGCATCAAGCTGTCCAGACGTGTAATCGTAATTTGTCTTCCGGGCCCCTCCCCCCAGTTTCAGGAGAGCAAGGTCAACACCGAACGGCAATGAAGGGTCTCTCAGATTGGATTTGAGATCATCAATGATCTCTTGCAGTTGCTTAGGAGTGTACCCTAGGCCGCCGATGACGCCTAGTCCACCAGCGTTGGATACTGCGGCTGCCAGCTCACCAGATGAAGTCCTGGCCATACCTATTATTGTGACCGCCGTATTAGCTTCACAATCACAACAAACACTTGAAAGAGTTTCAATACTGACCCGCCAGGAGTATTGGATGCTGGATGCCCAGCAGCCCCGTGAGCTGTGTCTTGCAAGATCTTTGGAGCCATTGCTGGTTCTTCAGAGTCGACTGTTTGAAATCAAAATGCAAAAGGTGAATCTTTAGAAATTGACACCTTTTAAAAGAAAGGTCGTAAATAGTTCAAACAAAAGATCACGAAAGCTCACGAAAGCTCACATAACTCTCAGGGCAACTCCAGGCGTTTTGAGGGCGCCGGGAGGGTCCATTATCGCATAGCCAACATCAGATAAGCTGCGGAGATGAATCGAAAATCGCTCGAACTTAAATGCCGGTATTCGGTACATTGTTCAACGATTCTATTTCCTGAAGTGTTGTTTCATTGGGAGCTTCAGCCGTCAAACTCTTCCGCCCTCTTTGTTTGTGTGTCGGTTCGGCAGAAGAGATGGGCAGGTAACCGAAAAGCCGGTAATTTATCCTTGTAACACTACATTACCTCGGCAATGCGTAGTTACCGAGAATACATACATCCGACGGCTCAACATTACACAACCACAGAAGCTTCGCTCCCAAGGAATAATGGGGGTAGGCATGAATGAAAAGGTGTATGGGATATTCGAGATCCTTATAGTTTAATTATAAGCATATCTAGCTACAGACCGCAGAAAGAACACCTGTACAAAAGAAACAGCAGAGAGTATGAAGCCGTCCATGGCGGTCTATAGATTTGGTTTGACCCAGTTAGGTTGTCTTTTCTCTCGGAAAGCAGCAAGACCTACAATCCAAGACCATTAGCTTAAGATTCATACCATAATATAACTAGACGATATGACAAAAAAGAACCCAAAAAAGGGATTGGGAATTCAACTCCAGTAACAAAACTACCTCCGGCCGGAAGCGTGCAATGAAACATACCTTCACGTAGATTCTGGCCCTCAAATAGATTCTTCGAATATCTCTCATGGGTGTTGCGGACAGCTTTTGACACATCACCAACCTCCCACGCCTCTCTCAAACCAGCCCTAGTTACAATAATGGCATCCGGGCTCAGCTGTGAAATTTCCTTCGCCAACGCGACCGCCTCGTCTATTAATGACTCATGCGTTTTCGCAATCCGGTTGACAAGATGCCACGCCTTTGCTTCTTCAGCAGATACAGTTCTACCCGTGAGTGCAATCTCCGATGCAACCTGTAGCCCTGCAATGTGTAAAATGCGAGGCAAGCCGCCTGCGGCCGCATATATGCCCCGTTTCGCTTCTGGTAGAGCAAATTTGGCCCTGGGGGAGGCAATAACCAAATCACTAGGTAGAGTAAAACAGATATCTCGAATCAGCCGGGAACTGTAAAAGAATTTCATTTTTTGAAATTCATAGTGCCCTCGAGTAAACTCCCAGGAACAGTCCTTACCAGTTCAGACATATCTCAAATCCGCCACCGAACGCGAATCCGTTCACAGCAGCAATGACGGGCTTTTTGCCCTTTCGCTGGCTAAGGCCGGCAAACCCGGAAGGCGGGTGGCCCCTCAGGGGCGCCGACTGTGTCGAGGGGTTTTTGCTATTTCTTTCGATCTCAAGCAGGTCCTGGCCGGCGCAGAATGCCTTATCGCCGGCGCCAGTCACGATTCCGACTTGTAGGGTGTGTTCATCGTCGAACCATGTCCAGAGCTCGTGTAAATCCCAATGGCCCTGGTAGTGGATCGCGTTCATGTTTCTGGCGCGGTTGATGGTTACCAGCAGCACGCCTGGTGCTGGGTATGAGAGGAGGTATATTGAGGATTGCGGGGGAGGCGTGGTGAAGGAAGACATCTTGGATGATTGGGGCTGTTCAAATTTTAGGTATATTGCTTTGCGTGATGAAGTAGGGAGAGTCGAGTCCTGGATGGTAGTTTTATGTTGTCCTGCAGGGTTTCCATCATCATTATTATTATTATTGTATCTCTGGTCAACTCCAGCTTTCGGGCTGGACTACTTAAGCGTCATCTCAGTGGTTGCCGAGGTATGGTTGGTAGGGACTCCCGAACATCAAGCCAATGAGATAATATTTGATTCCGCCCTTGGCTTCGGCGGGATTACTGTGGGGAGCGGACACTTCCACCGCTGGTGGTAATAATTGTTAGAAGAGATGGATGGATCTAAGGCAGTGAGGTAATCCTATTGGCTTGCCGCGAATTAAGTATTAAGTTTCGGTAGCTACCATGCAACGGATAGTTACGAGCACACGTACAGTACATAATAAAGACCAGCACTCTCTGCCAGCTCCCGTCGTTTAGAAACAGGTTACCATTAGAATGTGTGTACATTACATTACATTATATCGTCGCATAAACCATCGCAACGAGAGCCATAATATGTTTCACAAATGCACGCCACTTCGCCCCATAATATGCCAGTAAATAAACCATTAAGTCCAAAAACAAACCGCCATAAGTACCATACCGTATCACGAACTAGTGTTTCACTTTTGGTATGCTGGCGGTGGTTGGGTATATGACGGATGTGGTTCTGGAATTGGCCTAGGCGCTGGCATAAACTGGATAGGTTGAGCCCCTGGCGGAGGTGGGCCTTGGATGTATATAGTTTGTGGGTGGCCGGCCGATGCTTGCGCCGAGCCCGCGGGTAGAATATAGGCTAGGGGAGGGTGTTGGACGTTTGGATCTTGGGGTTGGCCCGGTTGACCGGGTGGAGGACCCATGACATATACCGTCGTGTTGTTCTGGGCCGATGCAGCCGCCGCGGGCGCTGCTGGAGGGTCCCGATTTTTTCTCGAGGCCACACAAATGCAAAGGGTGAGGAGAATAATTACCCAGAATGCTACAAGGCCGCCCACGATTCCCGCATTTCTATCGCTTAAGGCTGATGCTCGCTTTGAAAGTCGGTGAGGCATTCCTCGAATCCTGAGCTGGTAAGCGCGGTCATCTTCGCGGGGCTGCGAAACGATAGCTTCCGAGTTGGCCACGAGGAGATGGATTCGGAGGTCAGATTCAGGGGGGTTCGACGTGCATATCCCTCGAGTATACCCTGATTCAGGCTGAGACTCCTTTCTGAATGTAGCGAACTGGCAGTATTTTTGGGTTGAATCGGAACTTCAAAACAGAGTTAGTTAAACATTATCACCTTCTCACTCGTGAAACATGAGAATATAGCTAATAGGAGAATGCATCATCGTTACCAGGAAAGAATTGTATCCGATGTCAGATCAGAAGAACGTCGTTCGACGGAGTCATATGGAATGCAAGACTTGTACCAGGAGCATCCATCCGGCTCGCAACAGCCAGCAGCTTCAAGCTTGGGGCTTGACCGACATATGTTCTTTTCACATTGAAACACTGACACTATAGCAGCAGGCGAAGGTGGGTTAGCATTCTCCTGTACCAACTTTTAAAAAAAATACTGGCGATTCAGCATGCACGTGCTTACCGTAGGCGTTTTCGGTTTTGAGGCTGCATGGTCCCGCGTTGCTGAGAGCGATTCTTAACCCCGAGTGCGCTCGATTCAAGACAGACGCAGCTGTAGATGCGGACAGCGCAAGCAATAGCGCAAGTATCGGGATGGATCTCTCAAGTACATCTTTCACTCCAATCCACGAGAGGGATTTCTGCTGTATGGGAAGTGGGGTAATTGTGTATGTGCAAATCGTTGAATTTCCCCTCCTCAAATAACGCGTAAAGAAAGGGAGGAGATTTACGAACAATCCCCCCAGGCACGTTGAGGCCCTTTTTAATTTATCTCCTGTCATTTCTCCCTGGCGTTCCTTGGAGCCGCATCGTGACATTTGGTTGCCCAACTAGTGTGCTTGCCAAGGACCAAGAGGGAAAGATGGGTCCGCTGCCACGGGCGAAGTCATTCCTACAAATATGAGCGCCAATGAACACATCGCTCAAGCACAGGGATGTCCAAGTAAAGCGCCGGCACCGAAGTCACATGCCCGTAGAATGGGGGCGAAGCATTTTTGACGGGCCTAGCTAGCGTGTGGAGCAGCCATAGGATGAGGAGGTATCACTTGAGCGTGGTGGAGTGCGGGTTATGCTGCATTGCACCTTGATTTACTTATATAAATTCACCGATGGATGTGGAGCCTCCCAGTAATATAGAGACCGCGTACGGAGTAGAGTCTAGAGATATCATAGAATATTCCACTCCACTGCATTGAAGTAACTAATTTTCTCGCTTGTTTCGTGCTTGATTTAGGTTGTAGCGCCAGTTCCGGATCACACAGGGGGGGTGGAAGCAGGTCTCCGATTATATTTGCCAAGCCTCCACAACAGTTCCGCCCCGCCCAGCTCCATGACGTCGCTCACTTCACAAGAGTTAGTTTAGTTAAGGAGTGCAAGGAGTTAGTTGGCTCTAACCATAACTAACTTATTAGGAAATAATTATATAATCCCAAAGTCGTCCACAGAAGCAAAAAAGGCGGTAGGAAATATTGGTTATGGTGCGCAGACCTTGATCCATTTTTCTAACTTGTTCAACCCTCCCCTAACAGCAGCATCAAACTGCTGTGCTCTGAAGCATCAAGCAAAGGGTCGCATAACTGCCCAATACCCCAGCGAACGGGATGCCTCGGTCAATTTTGTATTCTACATATGTTGATATAACCATCATTTACACCGAGAGAAACACTCACTAGTGTTTTGTTTTGCATCTCTTTGCAATCTTTATCACTCTGTGTGAAAGTGAATTGATTTTTGAATAATACAATGATCAACCAAAATATTCGCACAACAGGGAAGTTGGAGTGAGCTAGGAAAAAATCATGCCAAACTAAAGTGAACTGAACAGAAGCGATCTGGGGAAACAAATAGAACACAGCTGCTTGGCTCTCATCACCACAAATCGAATAGCACAGGAGCAGTTCGTCTGATCACTTCTTATCCTCTCCTTGCCCTTGAAAGAATCGAGGATGCTTTCAGCAACTCCTTCGCCAGTGGGGTTTTCTTTGGGATCGACGACGACCTTAGCGAGTATTTTATGAGAGTTTTTGTTGGCAGCTTCCCTGACGCTTCTGTTCTCCGCATTCTTATTTTCTTGAAGGATGATTTCGAATTTTCCATTGACCTCAGATCGTGAACCTACCTTTTAGCTTCGCCTGGATAATAGAAACTAACATTCTGTCTTCAAAACTATGGCTCGTTGTACTTTGTACAGGACAGTTTCGACGGATGCGAATCCGCAGAAATTACAACCGATATCACCGAGTCTATGAGAGAGTATGGTCGACGAAAATTCGTGTTCGGGCCTCTTGCACTCAGGGAGTTTTGGGAGAAGGAGAGATCGCAAATGTCGATAGATCGTGAGCCATGTAAGATGGATTGCGGGTATCTACCTGTCAATCATAGCGTTTGATAAACCAACAACAGCTAACTTCATCATTCCGTCTATCAAGGGAAGTCTATCAAAGCTTACCTAGAATCTATCGCCCGACGTGAAATATCGTGGACCGGCAAATATGCGTCTTCATCCGCCAAAGCTCCTGGATACCTAAAACTTTCGGAGGCCCAAAGATCCCCAGAGGAGCATATTCAACTCCTGAACAAATATCTTGATGCGATCTCTGCCGTTATCCCCAGTAACCCCTATGTGATCCGCCCAACGATATATCACCCGGACCTTCATAGTGGCAATATTTTTATCCACAATGGCAGGATATCTAGTAGAAATTGACTGGCAGTCTATATGGGCGGCGCCATTAATTCTACAGGCGAGAGCTTCTAGACTAATCGATTACAACGGAGGGATTATATTGCATCTTCCCGAAAATTTCAAACAACTGGACCAGGATGAGAAAACCCATGTTCGGGATCAAAGTATCACGGTCAATACAGATGCTCATTTATGAAGAAAAAAGAGCAAAGGCAAATCCTCTACTAAGCAAGGCTTTTTTACCCAACCGTTCGGCAAGTCATTATCCGAATTGGTGTCCTTTGCGGGGAATTCGTGGGATGACGACATTATTCCCCTCAGGGAATATCTGATCAGGCTTGAGAGGTAATATATATAGTTTATTTTCATGCTTTGAGCCCGGCTTCGGTTGCGCGTTTGCGTTCCAGTTGTTCAAAACACCTGCTAATATGTAGTATTTCTCTAGGGATTGGTCTAAATTGGGGACTTCGGACCCATGTCCATATAATTTTACGGAAAGATGACATTCGAAAACACCGACAGGACGACGCAGCAGGGTTTAAATGAGACGCAAGACTTTTGGGATATGCTAGAAGGAACAGTTGACAGGACTAGCTGGACTACGAATGAGGAGGATTTCGAAGGTGCGGTTGACTACTTTTTGAAGTTAAGGGAGACTAGTTTGAAGACATTAGATGGCACCGAACGGGAGGAGTTCGAATTGAGGACTCATTGGGTTCTTGGTCACAAACGTTAGATAGACGTACGTCTTTTTACGGATGAAGGTAGAATATTATAGCCATATTTGAATCTTGAATTACAGGATCTTTGTTTAATAATATGATCTGTAGTTAATCCTTCATTATTCCTGCAATTTTCTTTTCCCTCTTTTGGCTCGGAATTTCATTTTAGAAAATAGGTTACTCTTTACACCATCCGCCAGGCCAGCAAAGAAACGAGGATAACTACATCTAAGCGATGTTGACAAGAATGTCCAGATAAACTTACCCGCTAGTTCCAACTTTTTGTTTCATATCTAAACGCGGGGGTACCCGTCATCGCAAATTTGTATATTTCTCCAGGGCTTTTTTTTTTTTTTTTTTTTTTTTTTTTTAAAGTAAAAAAGCCACCATCTGGGATGTGCTGTATTTAACTGACCAAGCCTGCTAGTGACATTTTAGGGATAGGAATGGCTAAACTTTCCCCTAAGGGTTCCGCGCATTTGTCCAAGGTCTTTTATAATATATAATATAAACCCCAGACTCAAGCGTTGATGAAGTGTGGAGATCAGATTGTTCTTAAACGTCAGGCTTCTTGAACAACACTTTCATGAGCATTGTTCCTATTTAGTTTTATCTATCTTGGCAGATTTATCTTTACTTTGCACTTCAGATAGAAGTAACTAATAAGTAACTAACTTTAGTGGCGGTAAAAAGCGATGAAAGATAAGTTGACTAACTAATAAATAAAAGATAACTAAGTTAAGCATCGGTGTGGCTGACGCTAAGAGTCCCGCCGCCCCTGATCTAGGCCTTGGCTGCTTCAACTATTTAATTTAATAATGAATGAATGAATATCTTATCTTCTTCTTCCCTGTTTCTGGTTGAGAAAGTTATTTCTTCTTCCAAAATTCAAAAAGGGTTAACTTAGTTAATTCAACTTCAGTATTTGAAGACAACAATTCTACATTCTCCCCTACAATCAAATAATGGATCTATGGCACTTCCCCATATTTCCCCGGTCTCCCAGTTTGCGGCCTCTTGTGCCTCTCGACAGACAGAAGCTTCTGTCCAGAAAACTTATAATGTGGACACATAACTAGAATAGGATTTCCTCAATCCCGGTTTGCGCGCAAGTTCCACTTCGTTGCCCGTGGCTACACAATCCCAGACGAAGCGGGAAACCAACCGTTTGAAGAGGGTGGGGGAAAAAAAAGAAAAACAAAAGAAAAAAAACTCTGAAACCTGATCGGCATTTAGTGCGTCGTCTCCCTAGTCGTGCCTCTTATGGACCGTGGTTGGACAGCATTTATTTCCCTCCTCTCTAGGGACTCGCTCAGGCTCAACGCGCGGGTTGGACCTTGGGGATACTTTGGCTATTATGAGTTTAGTCTGCCAATTCCAACTGCGCATCCTTGAATATTATTGCCCCTAGGCGAATTGCGTGGGGGGAGGAATGTAGCAGAATAGGTGTCAGTATGTATCTGAGATATCTCTCTCCTCAGTCTGGTCTGCCAGATAGGGATCCCCTCCTGGGGTTGAGAGCAGAATCAGCAGATAGATGTTTTTCTTTTCTTTTCTTTTCTTTTCTTTTCTTTTCTTTTCTTTTTGTTTTTCTTACTCTCTTCTCTTCTTCTCTATACTATGCGTACTTCTCTAACAAAGATTTCAAGCTTGATATTTGTTGATTTCCAAAAAATATCAAGCTGAACCCTGCACCGCACCGCCGACTTTATATATATCATTCCTTTCTCTGGATTCTATCTTTCGAAAAAATGATCCCGTCTCTTCCAGAATTCTCTCTACTGACCGAATAAGTCTTTCTACGGTGTCTTTTCTGGTGCTTGTCGACCTCGAACAGCTCCCTTTTTACCTCCTTCTCTCCTTCACTTCTTTCACTGCTTCTTCCTTGGTTAATATTCATGTAAATTTATTTTTTTAAGCATCGATTTATTTTTAAAAGCATTTGTGCTCCGATTTGTTTCCAAATTTTTCTACATTTTCCCTTTAATATCCTCATTTCGTTTCTTTCTCCAACCATGACTATATCCATTGCATTCAGACCTAGCTCTCCGCGGCTGTTGCGCAAACCCCCCACTATCTCCGGCATCATGCTCCTTGTCTATCTTACCTTTTTCTGTCTCCTTTGCAGCATGGCAAAATATTGTCTATCCTCCTTCTTAGCCTCCGCCGGCTACGAATCCGGCCGCGCAGATCGTGAAATCATCGTCGCCGCCATGTCCGAAGACGATACCTCCTGGTTATACGAGTATCTCCCGGACTGGGGGAAGAAAATCTACATTGTCGATAACCCCAATGCAAAACTAACCGTACCGAAGAATAAGGGAAGGGAGTCTATGGTATACCTGAGGTAGAAACTCATTCCTTTAAAAAAAAAAGCCCCGTATCATGAAAAAGTACTAATGAGCCTTTCAGCTACATAATCGACAACTACGACCGCCTCCCAAAACACATGGTCTTCATCCACCCCCAGCGCTACCAATGGCACAACGACGACCCCCTCTACGACAACGTGCCCATCATCAAAAACCTCCAGCTCCCCTTCTTATCGCAGCAGGGCTACGTAAACCTCCGCTGCGTCTGGTTTCTCGGCTGCCCTGTCGAGATCCGCCCCTTCACCGACACCCAGCGCGCAGACATTCACGCCGGCGCGGCTTTCAAATCCGGCTTTGAAGAGCTGTTCCCCGGCACCCCCGTGCCCAAGGAAGTTGGCGTATCCTGCTGCGCCCAGTTCGCCGTCACGCTTGACCAGGTACATAAGCGGCCCAGGTGGGAATATGAGCATTTCCGCGAGTGGCTACTCAACACCCCGCTACCGGATGAGCTGAGCGGGCGCATCTTTGAGTATTTGTGGCATAGTACGTTTTGGCTACACTCACAACTTACGAGAAAAAAAAAGAGTTTCTAAAACTTAACCCAAAAAGATAATAATGAAGCTAACACATATGTTCAGTTATCTTCGGCCGCGACTCCGTCCACTGCCCCACCGCCGAAGATTGCTACTGCAAGCAATACGGCTTATGCAACCTCTCATGCAAAAGTAAGGGCTTCTGCGACGGCCGCTACACCATCCCCCCTTATTCAACCCTGCCAGACGGCTGGCCCGATTTTGGCTGGGATGGGAACCCGCGGCGTCCTGGTGACCCGATACCGGCGCGGAAATTCCCGAAACAGATGCAGCAGCAGCAACAACCGGTGGTTGGATGATTCAGGATGATGGAATGTAGAAATGTAATTGGATCATGGCTTTGTTTTTAATAGAGGAGAACACACGTGGTTCTTGTGGATGTGGGCGGAACGAATAGACAAAAATGGGAGCGTTAAGTTAGAGGAATACTAGAAAGGGAGTGGACATATATTCCGGTAAGCTAGACCATCTTGGCATAATGTATGGAAAAGAGAAACTAGACGGAGTGGCTAATATTTAGTTATCCTTCTCAGCCACGTGCTTTACTTGAAAATCCGGCGGGGGTTTCCATGCTTAGCTCACCTTCCAACCTCCACCTCCACCTCCACCGCCATGCGGTATCCGGGATTTTTTTTTCAAAACATTGAGCCTCTTCCCTCCTCCCAGTCAAAACAAAGGGGTTAAAATCAATTGTTTGCTACCTATAGATTATACACATACGCATCCATGGACACAGAGAGTTGGATACTATTCAAATCACAGCTACACATGTAATAGATTTTTGGATTGGGTAGTTCTACATTTTACACGGGTTAGATATTTTTCTTTGAATAATACAATAGGTACCGGAATAAAGAAAAAGAACTACGTATAACTATTTATTTTACTATCTTTGTATATACTGTATGTTTATTAATGAGTTACGCGGAGTTGACCGTACTAGCAAAGGAACTAAGGACGGGCATTTTTGTCGCGGCTATTTGTATCTGACGCCGTTATTCCCTCGGCTGTAACTTAACTTAAATATACAGTTTTATAAATTACCGTTCTTACATCATCAACCATCAACTTCCATCATCTCCCTCAACCACCACCAACAACATTCTCCAGATCATTCTACCAGCCAGTACAGTACAAAGAGGGCATATATCCCATCTTCATATCAGAGCTTAGCTGGCTAGCTCTGTTTTTTTCTTTCCTTCCCGTTCGTGGCGTTTCCGGGTCACGGTTGAGGTATGTCTAACTATGTATCCATAGCTGCATGTCACAAACATGCATAATCAAATGAGATCGCAGCCAGGAATCTACGTACAACTGACGAACATGGTGGTGGCAGGGTGTATATATTAATATCAAACAGTGATATTCGAAATATCAGCTCCAGCACATATACAGGGCTCCGATTGCTCTTCTTTTTACACGCTCACGGTAAACAATCGGCGACAGCACGGCTACGCGGAGGAACGGGCAGAAACCAATAACAGTGGCATCCGACCCCATTAAAAGGGCACGGATATACGCATACGTGTATACTTGTGCAGGCGCCTTTGAGTCGTATTATTGCGGGATGTTTAACTCGAATAACTAAATCCAATTGACAACTATTACCCGCCGACTCGACTGGTCGCTTCGATAGAGCGGGAGAGCCGAACCATCTCCTTGCAGCACCCTACATCCAAAAACCAACCCAATTCCCGCCTCCAACAAAATCCTATAACAATGCTCCTAATCGGCCTAACCGGCTCTATAGCCACTGGCAAATCGACCGTCTCCTCCCTCCTTTCCTCCCCACCCTACAACCTCCCCATAATCGATGCCGACATCCTCGCCCGCAAAGTCGTCGAGCCAGGCACCCCAGGCTACCGCGCCATAGTCGAGTACTTCGGCCCGACAACCCCCGACCTCCTCCTCCCCGACGACCCAGATGACCCAAACGACAAAAACAAGCCAAAAGCAAAGCACAAGGAGCTTGGCCGCCCCTTGAACCGCCCCGTCCTTGGCCGGCGCGTCTTCGGCGACACAGAGGAACGCAAACGCGACCGCGCCGTGCTAAACCGCATCGTCCACCCGGCCGTCCGCTGGGAGATCTACCGCTCGCTGCTCTACTACTACCTCCGCGGCCACTGGGCCGTGGTGCTGGACGTGCCTCTGCTCTTCGAGAGCGGGCTGGACGCGCTATGCGGGACCGTAATCATGGTTGGCGTGTCCGATGCCGCGGTACAGATTGCGCGGCTGCGGGCGCGCGATGCACATTTGAGTGCGGAGGATGCGGAGAATCGGGTGAAGAGCCAAGGGGATGTGAAGGGGAAGGCGGCGCGGGCGGAGGCGCGGGGTACGGAGAGTGTGAGGGGGTTGGTTGTGTGGAATGATGGGGACAGGGCGGCGTTGGAAAGGGAAGTGAAGAAGGTAATGGAGCGGGTTGCGGGGGCCAGTCCGCGGTGGTGGGCGTGGGTTTTGTTGCTTGTGCCGCCATTGGGGGTTACGGTTGCGGCGTGGAATTTGATGGTGAATTATCGGGGGAAGAGGGGGTGGGAGGCGGATGACGCGGAAAGGGTGGGAAGGGCGAAGTTGTAACTTTCCCAACCCTCCCCTTTTACTACCTTTTCAATTGTTGAGATAAGAGTACTATTATACATATTGCATATTACATCTCATTGCTTGTATATATTTTTAGGGGGGTTTTAAAGCAACTATTTTGTTAATATTGGATACAGTCTAAATTTTGTTATGCTTCCATATAGATGATCATTTCGCAACCTGTGATAGACATGGAACGCAATACAGATGCCTAGCTAATAAAATAAAACTCATGCCTCCCCATGCATAAACCATACAACGCCATACCCTAAATGCCGAGATGTACATGTACAAAAGAAAAATGCCATGAAAAAGCACTAATAATCAAAACGAGACTCCCTAAGAAGCTGGCAATTCGGCCCATCACTAATGTGAACTCAGACCTTCGTGACAGCCCTGTTTCACCTCCTCCCCTTCCTCCCGCCCCCACCCCCACCCCACTGATTCTGATGTCGTTTGTGCTGCCGCTGTTGCTCCCCCTTATCGACGCCTCCAGATATACTAGTTAACCGACTGAGATCGACAGCATCATCGCCGGATTTTCTCTTCTTGCTGTTTTGCGCATTCCATCGCTTTTCAGCCCGTTTCTTCTCAGATTTTTGTTTAGCGGCCTTCAGGAGTGCATCGAGACCGTCATCGTCGTCGTCGTCGTCATCATCACTACTTCCGCTTCCACTGTGGCCGTCATCGTTCTCTTCATCTTCGTCGTCTCCGTCTCCGTCTCCGTCTACATCCCCATCTCCATTCGCGTTGTGCGAGCTAGATGTCGCCGTCGCCTGCTTGTTTGCAAAAAAAAAAAAAAAAAAAATCCGATTAGAAACTATAAATTTTGCAGAAAGAAAATAAGAAGAAAGAGAACATACCAGCCCCTTCCCCCCTTTCCTCTTGAACCCGCCAAAACTCTGTCGGCCGCCCATAACCTCCTCATCCCCCACATCGCCAAACCCATACACACTACCGCCATCCATCGCCGTTTGTGGATGGGGTTCGGGAAACGTCCCCGGCGGATACTCAATGACCCATTCCTCCTCGCCGGCCTCGGCGGCCTGTCTCGCGATAGCGGCGGCCCGTTTCTCCTCCTCAGCTCTAATCGCGGCGGATATGGCTTCTAGATCTGCGTTGCCCGTAGCGGGCGTGGAAGGTGTAGATTTGGAATGTGAGGAATTCTTTTGGCGCTTGGGTGATGGTGTGGGCGTCTTTAGGGTATCGTAAGATTGTTGTTGTTGGAGCTGTGAAGTGGAGGGTGTTGAGGGGGTATGTGTGTTTGTATTTGTGGATGTAGAGGAGGCTGCGGCTGCGGCGGCGCGTTGCATGAACTGGATGGGGTTAGTTTTGAGGTATTTTTTGGAGGAGATATGTATGGAAATTATACCTTCATGGTCAGCAGCCGCGAGGACATTGTCTTTGGGGATTTTGGGGTCGGCATGGTTGTGGATGAACAGTATTTGCACTACCCGTCAATGTTGATGGCGGTTGGATGCGAAGGGAAAAGAACTATTGCTGTGGAGAAGGATAATTCCTGTTGCTCTGTAAGATTAGGCGACCATGCTCTCTCCAATTATTAATGTATAGGAATGCATGCGCAGTTGTAAAAGGAAATATACACCAGCAGATGAAGCCGTCGTTGTGTCTTCGAAAAGCCCTGATGTCAACTTTTTCGGTTGGATGAGGTTGTCCGGGCAAGGAACGCAGCCGATTGGCTCTAACCACATCAAACCGGCCAACTTCAACTCTTATATACCACCAATCAATCAATCAATATGTTTTAAATACTAACCACCACGCATACCAACACATCCTCACCCACCCGCAACAACGGGCTAAACAACATCATCCACAATGCTCGCCTCCACAAGGTCCCGTCTCTGCCTGGCCGCCGCCGCCGCCGCCCGCCCATCCCCTTCCCGCCTCCTCCCCCGCGCCTACACAACCACGGCACCACGCCTGTCCGAACCCTCAGAGAACGCCATCCCGGCCAACGACCCCAACCCGCGCAAGAAGGTCAGCCCCGTCTCCGCGAGCAATGCCGTGCCGACAGATGCCATGGGCTCCCGGGACCTGCCCCTCCAAGAATCGGTTGAGGAAGCACAGCGCCAGCTAGCTAAGCAGGCGCCCAACCGGACCGCTATCTGGGCGAAGAGCCAGCAGCCGCGGGAAAAGGCCATGACTGGGCCACGGTTCGAGCAGACTATTATGGAGTATCAGGTAAGAATTTTTTTTTTTTTTTCCTTTTGGTCTACATCTCCTTTTGCATCCTTGTGGACGGGCTACCTGCTCGATGTATTTTTCAGTTGTGTGCGTCGAGGAGGCGGTGGGATGGTGAAATCCCGACCAGCAAGAGAGACGCGGCCAATCGATTGCTATTGTGATTATCCGGCAAGGAAGACCCTCATGCTAACATCCCCACCAAAAAGCCCCGACCGTACGCAGCTATCGAATTGATCCACAAGCAGCCCGTGCGATGGACAAAGGAGAAGGTCGTCTCCTGCGACGGTGGCGGAGGACCCCTCGGCCATCCCCGAGTCTTCATCAACACAGATAAACCCCAGATTTGCGTGTGCGAATACTGCGGTCTTCCATTTGTACGTACAGGACCCAGGACCAAGGCAGACTTGACTTGTTCCGCTGCAGGATTTGCTCTATCTAACTTTCGGTTTGAAAACACAGGCAAACGAGAACAGCCGGAAAACGCTGGAGGCGCAGGAACACACGTCGTATCCGTTGGAGCCGCTTGGACACCCAGCGGAAGTCAATGAGTCGCAACGAATCACGCCAGAAGGTTTCGAGCAGCGATAGAATAGGAGCGGAACTACCATAACACCAGCAAATAAAAAACACAATATAATAGATCCCATTTTCTTCTTGTTTCATTCCGTCTTTCGACTCCTTTCATTGCAGCTCAAATAACAAACAAAGCGCAACACCATTTTCCAATGCTAATTTTCGCCAATTCTTGTGGCGTACACTGTTCCTTTACTGTTTCCTAGCCCGTTCTGCGTGTACATATAGTTTGTGGGCCTGTTGGGCCGAGAGTAGCGAATGGCATAAATGGAATCCAAACCCGCTCTATCAAAAGTTGTGGTACCCATCTGGTAAATCGTTTAGGCGATGGAGCCATCTCCCTTCTCTCCGTGTGACGTATTTCAGCCACTTCATACTGGGAGTAGCAGGTCGACTTAGGCATATTAAATGTGCAAAGCGATTGAATCTATGACTCCTTGCATACAACTCACTGATTCTCTCCCATTGAGCACAACAGCTCGTTGTAGACGCAGGTGTATATCTATCTACACAGTGTACCTCCGGTTCCAAAGGGTCCAACAACTCCAGATTAAATACCCAGATAAAATAATAATGAAAGTCCAGTCAGTGCAGAAGCACAAAAACACACATAGCTAGTGGGAAAGAATATTAAAAACTACATCTTCTCCCCCTGGATAGTCGCCACGACCTTGCGTGAGTGCTTACTGGCGCGGAATTCCAGATACCAGATGCCCTGCCAGGTGCCAGTAGCTAGTGTCCCGTTGGTAATGGGGATTGTGACAGATGCACCGATGAGGGCAGATTTAATATGTGCCTGGAGGGGGATCAGTTAGCAAATCAATTTTTTCATACATACCACGTACGTTTGCATGGCATGTCATATCCATCCCCAACCAATGTCTCCATCCCATCAAAATACATCTGGAGAAACGAAAATTGAAAAAAGAAAAAAAAAAAAAAAAAGAAAGAAAGAAAGAAAGAAAGAAAGAAAGACAAACCGGCATATCATCCAAACCCTCCGCACTATGCCTATACAGCTCCCCCTTCCGATCCTCCGGCGCAATGCGATCCAGCGCATCGCTCATGTCCGCCCGCACATCTTCGTCCCAGTTCTCGTTCAGGCTGAGGGCGCAGCTGGTGTGCTGGATGAAGAGGTTGAGCAGGCCTGTCTTGTACGTGCGTAGCTCGGGGAGTTCGGAGACGATGTGGTCTGTTATCAGGTAGGAGCCGCGGGAGCGTGGGGGGAGGGCGATAGTTCGTTGGAGCCAGGTCATTGTGGATGGTATGGGGGAGGAAGAGGTGGTTGTGGTTGCTGGTGGGGTTGGGAATGGGGAGAGGAGGTGGAGGGGCGGGACGTAGAAGATGGGCTTCAGGAGGGAGATGAAGAGGCTTGGGAAGAAGGCGAGGATGAACAGTGAGAGGAAGAGGAGGTGGGAAGGGAATTGGAATGAAGTTGGAGAGGTGTTTCTAGAGGTTGGAGGCGGCATGGATTTTGTTTGCTGATCCAGCTTGATGGCGGGGTGGACGGGCGATCAGTACGTACCGTCATATTTAGCTGAATAACTGGCGGAATATTTATACTCAATAAAACAATATATCCTCCCCACGGCCATATACCAAATATCGGGAAACATTATATACATTATGGAGATGAGTAACTTAGATATTGTATATATATATATACATATTACTCATGAATTAGATCACTGGAATCATTCATTCCCGCCCACTTTGGCTTGCCATCCCTAACATCAACCACCCGTTGAGAGTAAAAAATATGGCAGCTATAAGACATCGTCGAGATGTTAGTGAAATAAAACCCTCTTCCAATAGCAATTTGCTACAAAACACAAAACACATACCTGGGCTCAAAAATCTTCCTCACATTTCTCCCTCCCTGCCCCTCTTCCTCCAATCCACTCTTGGATTCAATCAGACTTGGAAACAGTAATATGACATTCCTCCCCTCATCCATGATCGGGGAGTGGCAGTAGGAGCACGAAACTTTACATGGCAGATGATGCGCATGTTGTTTCTCTGCGCTGTTGTAGAAATTCAGTCCCTGGGTGCCGTGCGTGAAGGTCATATCCGATTTATGGAAGATGGCCGCCCACTGGAATGGGGCACCTAAGGATGGCTCGTTAGTTAAAGAGATCTAGAAATCAAGAGATTTTTTTCATAACTTGCATATGCTGTGTTTGATATAAATACAGCCTTGACTTGTGTCTATGGGGATCAAGCATCTGTCAAGATATTTAAATAGGGGCTAAATAGGGGGGTAACTACTGAATAGCAGGTATTTAGTATTTTGGAGGAGAAACACAGGACTAACCATGCAGAACTTGACATCCGGTACAATGGCAGTATTTGACATCGAGTGGCCTTTCTCTATTTATCTGATATGTCACTCTCCCACAATGGCATTTCCCGGTCCAATATACAGTGCCAAATTCCTCGGTTCGATGGGCTTTGTAGGGAGGTCTTTGCGACCATTCTTCAAGGCCTGAGGGGGTTTCTGAAACCATTGACAAACTGTATCAATGTGTGAATGGCAATATTACAATATTTTTCTTTTGCTAGTGCTTGAAGAGTTCATGGGTGTATTCATTGTTGTGATATTTATATAGTATAATAAATATTTATTCCACTTTGTCATAAATAAACATTCACCCATCGACTCCTTGACTCCTCCCAACCACCCAAGTCCGGCCCCCTTTCTACCATCTCTCCTATACCTCTCATCTAGCAGGCGAGAGCTAAACAGTGGTTGCTCTCACTCTCTACTAACCTATCTCTCTTTTACGGATTGCTTCTCATTTGGCATCCAGAAAAATACCAAAGATGTCAGATGATGGATATGGCTACGATTGTGGCGGAGGAGATTACTCGTACGACGAGCCCTACGATGATGGTGAATCCTACGATGCTGAAGACTACACCGGGGATAACGCTGGGAGTAATTTCAATGAGGACGATTCCCTTTCCTACGACTAACTTATTTATCGCATTGATGGGGCGTCGGAGGGTGATGGACACCAAGACGCGGAAGGGTATCCTCAGGAGGAGCTTGACGTCGACTCTGACGAAGCAACCTATTCCTCAGACAGTTCCTGTGATGGAAGATTGCACGAAGAAGCAGAGTCTAGTTACAGGCGTGCTTCGGGTCCCAGTTGTGGCTCGTTCGCTCGACGCGGGGGCGTTCAGGGACACGGAGACACTTCTATCATTGTAACCCCTTTAATATTGCTAATATGGCAGTCCAGCCTTCCGAATTGACAAGCAGCGGTGTTATCTGAGCTTAATACTTTTATAACTTAAACGGCATATCTATATGGTAATATTTTATTTTCCATCCTAACACTATAGGAGGTTGATGGAAGAAGGGTAGGCTATAGTAGGATATACATCGCGGAGCAAGATGACGTAGTATTGGAACCGATAATGCTCCTTTGAGCGATGGCTTTCACTTTACGCACCTGATGGCAGACAGTGGGCGTGATAAGTTCTCAATGAAGTATATTATAGCCTGTCGTAGTTATGGGTTATAGGAGGGATTGTCAAATTGATTCATTCCAACTTCGCAGTAATAGCAGACTTTTTGGCATAAGCATGACAAGAATCACCGATTCCACGGGTAATGATGATAAAGAAGAAGGGAATCTTCTAGCATTGATTGTAAGGTGGACTTCTATTCATGCATTAGGTTGCTGATGTCGTAGCGACCCTGAAAAGTGCAATAGTATTGGGATATACGCAGTGGTTAGTTAATTCATCAACGCCATAAACTGCCTTAAGAGATAGAGAGAGCAAATCAAAAGAATACAAAAGTGAATAAAAGAAACAAGAAAAGAAAGAGACAGCAGGAAAATAAAATTACATCACTGCTCCTCAACCCCTTCCATCCCCGTGTCCGCCGCCTCGGCCCCGACACCATTCTTACTATCTCCTCCTCCCGTCCCGCCATCCTCCCCCGTCAACAATACCTTGGTCTTGGGCATTCTACCGCTGCTGTCGGGCCCCGGCTGCTCCCCCGGTGTGACCGCAACCACATTATCATTCTCATCCACAAACTCGAAGTTATATCGTGATAGCAGGTGCGGGATGGCCGAGAGTTGCGGGCCGTACCGTGCCGTGTTATCGTACAGCTCGAAGAGGGGCACGGCGAGCAGTTTCATGTTCTTGGGGACAGAGAGGACTTCTGTGGTTTATTATTAGTATCTGCATATATACGCATATGTATATATATAGTGATACAGTGATATATCAAGAACATACTCTTCTTCGGCAACTGGATGAAATACAGCTTCTTGCACTCCTTGGGCCGCGTCACATGGCCAGGGAGGAAAGGGTACATGAAGGTCTCGAAATTCGGCCGCCACCACTGCGCGAGCGTGTCGCCGATTTCCCAGTCGTCGTTCACCCCTTCGCCGCTAAACTGTGAACCGACGGGGGCTAGGCGCTCGTTCAGCCGTGTTTTGAACCCTTCGACCTCGTCGTCATCGTGGTGCAGGTAGTCGCCCGGTCTACGTAACATGTCAACATATTAATTGGTTATTTCCCTCCCGCTACACACGTATGTATATATATATATATGGATATATACGCACAACTTGAAAAACGCATTCGCAATCTGCAACATCAGGACATGGGGATGGTTATGCTCATGGCACACCAGCACGCCCTCGCACGTGCGCCTCATGCCATACTGCTCGTAGTGTTCTTCCAACCGTTTCAGACGCGCCAGTACCGACGGGTCTTCTTCCGGCTGGTTCTCTTTGGTTCCGAATGTGTAGTTTGAGAGAGGGTATAGGCGGATTGTGGCTGGTTGTTTGGCGGAGAAACCGTGTGGGAGGATGGGGCTGCGGATGAGTTTGATGGGTGAGTAATTTGAAGGAGGAAGTTTCAGGAGAAACGGGAGGAGAAGGAGGACGATGAGGAGGCTAGGAGATAGGAGTAATGCGCGTATCAAGATTGGATACATACGGGTTGGAGCTCTGTAGCGCAGTCGTGGTTACTGTCGACATTCTGTCAGACTCTCTGGTTTCTAGAATTTCGATCCCGCTGTTCTTCTTTTCTTTCTTCTCGGTTGCGGAATGAATAATTATGTATGCAGCGGATTTAATGCGATGTTTATCAGGCTTTTGGAAAAGGAATTGAGTATATTAGAGACAGTGCGTGGTTCGCGGAGAACGGTTGTTGCATACAGATAGCTTTCGATTTTGGCGTTGTGGAATATCTATTTTCCGGAGCGAGATTCAAAGTTTCTCATTATTCAATCTTAATTACGGAGTATCTATACAAGGTATCTCAGTGGACAACCAGCCTACTGTCCGGTTCTTGTCAATGCCATCTTCATTGCAGAAAAGTTTGCTTTCCCAAGAAAACTTGAACCCTTCCGCAACGAAGGTTCGAGGATAGCCACACAATTTCAGGCCCCTCCAACCATGACATACATAGTATTGCTAGATGGCCCTCCGAAAGCCATCGAGTTCTTCCTCTCTGAGCGGCAAAGGAACGAGTCAAATGCACCACGCCCCTTCATTTTAGGAGGGTTCGCTAAATTCTATCGGATTTCCCCTTGCCTGTAGTTGCCACTCATTCACTAGGAGAAGTTCCTTTGCGTCCTGCTTTCACGGACAAGAACGTCTGTCTGTATTCTGTATATTCCCGCGCCACTTCCATCGCCAATTCCGCGGTTGTTGAAGTCCCAATGCACTCCGATTAAAGCGCTTCTCTATTACAATGGAGAAGTGTAAATGCCCTCTTAAGCTCCTGTCGGCTTTCTATTAGATCTCCATCGGCTTTTTATACCATCTCAGCCCTTTGGAGCCAGTCAGAATCTGCGACTACAGACTTTTCGAGATCGTCCAGCTTTTCATTAGCCAAGAGTTCTAGAAATAAGATCGCGGCGCTTTGGCAAAGGGGAATGTTTCGGCCAACGGCAAGCCAGGACTCCACCACCTGGTAACTTCTTGCCTGAAACCTCCAAAGCTCCTATTTTCTAGTTAAACCATGGCTTTTGTATGAGGCCTCAAGCGCTGGATTTTCACTCACCAAGGCATCATTTGTCGACCTTGTTTGGAGAGCAACCTCCTATGTTTCCTTTTCCGAAATTTTCTCTAGATCCTGCAAATATGTTCGAATGTGTTGGCTCTTCTCCTTCCTTTGGTTTCGAGAAGTGATCGACGCTCTTCTACTTCGCCAGCTTTAACTGGGAATGCAGATCTCAACTCATCTCTTGCGGATACCGTTAGGTCCTCGCGGACGTCTCGCTGTGCTTTTGTAAGATGAAGATGCTTGTTGTATGAAAATTGCTCATGGAAGTCGCCCCTGATAGGCAGGTCGATCAAACTCTCGGCAAGCCTTAATGCTCGGTCCTGAATCCTGAGTTGGGTAGTTCTTCTTGGACTACTTGTTCGTTGTGGTTTTCGGTCCAGGGCCGGAAAAAACACCATTGAGGTGACGTTCCCAGAACACAAACCGGGTTAATTTTGTCCCTTCTTCCTAACGCTGGCTAGAGCCTGACATCTTTGTGTGCTCTTACGATATCACCCATTCGCTGTCTCGCGGCACGTATTAGGGGCTTGTATTGGTCCAAGACTTGGTACTCTTCTGTATTCAAGAAACGACCACGCTAGCCTAGCATTGGTTATCCACACACTAAGCATAGCTATATATTTGAGATGCGTCCGCTAACATAGGCTCCCAGGAGCACATTCAGCTTCCTATTTAGAAATTGACCAACCTGTATATCTCTTTTGTTTAAAATCTTATCCCAAGCGCGGTGAATATCCTCAGGGGCGCAGATGGTTACCGTCTGTAATGTCCAATGGGGTGATAGCTCAGTTGGGAGAGCGTACGACTGAAGTTTCAAACTTTGGTTTTCTTAAATCGTAAGGCCGCCGGTTCAATCCCGGCTCGCCCCAGAATCTACTTTTTGCTTAATTCTTTCATTTATTATATTCTTCGTTTTGTATTTATTTTTCTTTTTTTAGAGGAGGAGATTTTAGATTAGTAGAGCTCTACTCCGCACAATAAAGTCCTTTACAAGGATGCTTCTGGCATCAGTGCAGGAAAGTGTTATATACCACCCCAGTACTGCTCAGTGTATGCGCAAACGCTAGAAGAGAAGGCATGTCGACTCAACTGGAAATGGGACATTTCTAAGGTTCATAGCGATATAAAACCGGCTTTGATCATTTAATATTGTTGGCGATGGCAGGGCATATGTTCATGAATGTAGTAGGTAGATGTGTTGTTGAGCAGCTTCAGGGTAACGAACGTCCAAGGGGACGGGGAAACGGTCAAGACTAAATTGTGTAAGCCGCTGCAGATCATAAGCTTAATAAATACTAAACTTTGCGGAGATTCAAAGTTAGCGACGAAGGATGGCTCTCCGATCTATGTCTTGTATGTGTTGAGGCGATACGCAGGGTTGAATTCAGATGAATGCGATCCAGCAGAGGAGATACGCGTTGAAGGGATTAGGAATCCTCATATTCGGTATCGCTGTGTGAGTACAACCCATGTTCTGCAAATTAGTAGATATTGTTGTCGTCCTTCTCAGAAGTACTCCGTCCATATATTGATATATTTATATGTGGGATGATGTGTAAGTGCGTGGATAATAATTCGCTATTGCTCCAAATGCTCAGACAAGGTTTTGTGCCGTGACTCCTGCATTGGGTCTCTTGGACAAGCAAGCTCTCTTTGCACACCACATATCGCAGGGGTGATAGCTCAGTTGGGAGAGCGTACGACTGAAGTTTCAACTTTGGTTTTCTTAAATCGTAAGGCCGCCGGTTCAATCCCGGCTCGCCCCATGGCTTTCATTTTTTATCTATTTATTTTTATTTATTTTTATTTATTTAGTATTTTCCCCCCGTCTTCGAACTTCGCACCAAATCATTGTTACATAGTTTTCTGTATTATTATGATTCCTGTAGGAACATATTCTCTAGACTCACTACGGGTATCGACGATCGGAACAAACGTATATGTACAGTACATTACATACATCGAGATATGTGAATATCTTCGTCATAGCCCTCGCCTCCCCTCCACAGAATCATTCAAATAGGTCTGCAAGCACTTGCGACCGAGCATTGGTATCCCCTATCATACATAATAATGTAGAATAACCAGAGGGATCATTGTGGCCTTAGCACTTGAAGGACGATTATGACTGTTTATTGTATGAGTATTTCAGGTGCGGGTTATCATGTTTATAAATTATGGCACAAGTAACCAAAAGTCTGGCCTTCCCACCATCCAATGGGGTGATAGCTCAGTTGGGAGAGCGTACGACTGAAGTGAACTCCAGTCTCTTATCGTAAGGCCGCCGGTTCAATCCCGGCTCGCCCCAGAATTTACTTTTTGGGTTTATTTTTTATTTTATTTTTTATTTTTTATTTATTTTTTATTTATTTATTTAATAAACAGTACATACAATGCAGACAAATGTTTCAAACCTAACAACCAATCAATAAATAAATGAGAATCTGATCACTGTATTCATGATGATGAGTTGCCCCCATACATAGGCAAGAGGACAAGCAGTGACAAAGAAGAATGAGGAAAGGAAATTTCGCAATTCCAGATAGGTATGACAAGAAATTGCGCGGCTCAACACTTGAACTGTTCCAAAACCCCTCATTGAATCTGTTTGGGTGCTATGGCTACTTGTACATGTGCATACATTGTCCATGGATACGCCTTCGTGCGGGTGTTGTAGGATATGGGAAGCTTGAGGGTGAGCTACCAGGTAAGCATTTATGAGAAACCTTAACTTCCCTAGGCGTTGTATGTAATAGTAACTATAACTATAGGCACACACACATCGCCCATTAACTAACAGCCTTGTAACTTCCTACCCTCTATAGCTATTTCCGCGCAAAATATAGGCGACATGGAATACAGAAGCTCCGAGTATATCTATGAAAACAGAAGGATGGAAAAAATGAAACAAATCAATGAGAAACATATAGCCCGGAAAGCGCCCTAGGTAGTTACAGAATCACATAAGGTAATAATCACTTTACATATCCCACTGGCTGATTGATTGGATTGATCCTAAACCGAAACCTCCCTCTTCCATCGAGCAACCGTCATCCAACACAAAATATAAGGGCAAAAACAATATAAAAGCAGTAAAGGGAAGGCGACTTTACAACTTCGGATCAATTTCTTCAAACTCGCTCAGGTCCACGATTGGAGACGGCCCAGCACTAATGGGAAGACGCGCCTTGTACTCCGGTACGTTAGTGATGTACACCGGCTGCACCGGGTTTGTTATTGCCGGTGGCGTCGCAACAACATGACCATTCATAGCGCCATTTTTCGTCCCGTTACTCGTCCCGTTGACGGTCCCGTTAGCTTTCTCGATAGCAGGGGAGGTGGCATCACCAGTCGTGGATGGAGGCGACATGATTACAAACCCTTGTAATAGCTCATTGAGAACATTGGTAGTCGGCGCGAGGATGCTAGCTACCTTCTCACTATCAAGCTTTAGTTCGGTCTCTAGGAAGCCTCTGACCGCTGAAATGATGACGTCCTTATTCGTCGCAACGTCGCTTGTCATGAAATTCACATCGGCGAATGATGCTTTAAACTTGTCGCTGTCGAACTCTGTCAATGATTGTGATGCGATGTCTGACAGTTGTTCGATTATGCTCGTCTTGCGCTCATCCGCTGTGTTCAATACGACACCAGCATCAACATCCTTGTGCTGCACACTGGATTGCGCGTTTAGATGGATGGATAATTTCGCACGCGTCGGTGATTGTGGGTCGATATACCGCCGGTAAAACTCTACCATATCCCCTTTGGTCAATTCCGACACTTTCTCCGCGTCAGTATGATGCTGCGTAAAGTCAAAGTACTCGGAGCCGATATGCGACCAGAACCGATTCGTTTCAGAATTCAGGTTTTTCAACTTCTCGAGGCGCTTGTTGATCAAACTTCGCTTGTGGCCGTCGAATTCCTCATCGGTCATGCCGTCCAACGTCCCCGCGAAGCGGGCTAGGAATGCCTCGATGCGAGACTCTAGGTACTGATTTGTTCTCTCGCTTTGGATGATGACCCGATACCCCAGTGTGGTGGCGCCATACCGGATGCCGCTCCACACAACGTAGCCTAGCTGCTCCTGTGTCCGTAGTTGGTCGAATGCGGGCTCGTTGGTAAGTTGCCCGAATAAGAGTGATTTGGCGCGTAGTTGTGGTTCCATTATATCGCCTACGAACAGGTAATATTCGATGCAGTGGTTGATGTTTGCGGGGTCCTTAAGGGTTTTTTCGTAGATGAAATTACTTCCCGGTGGTATGATTATGTTTCGGCGCACGTGCCATTGGGACTGGGGCAATGGGCGGGAATGGAATGATGATTCCACCATGTTAGCCATTTTCAGCACGTCTTCCTTGTAGAGGTTACCGTGGCCCAGAAGTTCGATGTGGGTTTGACGGAGCAGCTGTGGGAAAAAAGCGGCCACGTCTTCGAGTTCAATGTGTTCCAGCTCAGCTGCCAGTTGCTCGGTAATCCAAGTCTTCTCTGCCGTCAAGTATCTTGTCACATTCCCAACCTGGTAGTAGGGCTGCTGATACTCAGAATTCGAGAAGGCGTCGGCCATTCGCTGCTTAACAACCTTAAATCGGTCAGGCTTGACTTTAAAGTCCCTCATGCTGTGTAGAACCTTTTCCAAGAGCACTGCCATCTTATCATTGTACCCGGACACTGACATTTCGAGACCGGATACACTGGCGGTCAAGTTATAATCAAGTCCACCTAGCTCAGCATCGTAGGAATACTCTTGAAGATCATCTTGGATTAAAGCGCACGCTATTCTTGTAAGGACGTTGTTACCCGGGGTAGCATAAGCCAGCGGGTTCCGAAGGGCGATTTGAACACTTGCTTTAGGGACATAGAAAGTGTCGTCCTTCTTGAACCATACTCTAGCACGGTCGTCGTTCCGGATGAGGGTGGGCCTCTTTGCCGGTTCCGCTACCTCTTTTTTCTCAACTTCAAAGCGCGTCGGGACGAATTCATTCCTGTGTGGTAAATGAAGTTCTGGCATCGGGTTGTATGAAGGGGACTCCAAAATGCGTCCGATCTCAGAGAGTAGGTCGCCCGGGACCTTCTCGACTTTGTGTTCGGTCCCATACCACTTCTCCTTGGAGTCCCAATTCCCAGGATACGTCTGCGAAATAAGTTCAATATTGAAATTATCGATACGGAAGCAATCGAGACCGCGTCGGATGGCTTGTTCATCAAATTTCCGCATCAAATTTGGCCCACTGAGGAGCCAGTCACGAGGGAATGGTTTCTGCATTACGCTGCTGAGGGTGCTCGTGAAACGACTTGCCGGGGATTTCTGCTTGAATTTGAAATCGACCTCCGCGAGATTCTTCATCTCTTCGAAAATCCATTCTTCGGGCGCTCGTGATTTGAGTATGGAAATGTATTGAAAAATAGTTTTGATGACTTCATGGTAGTTATTGATACCGTCCTCTGTAAGACGGACGGATATCGTGAAGAATGCGGAGCCTGGGCAGATGGGCATTGCACCAGCGGAAAGGCCATATGCCCAACCTTTTGCCTTGATATAGGCAAGAATGCTACCAGGTCCTTCGTGGCCAATCAGATGACTGATATACCTGGACGGTTTGGATTCATACAGATTCTCTTCATCCTGGTAAGGAAAGAAAATTTCTAAAGATCGAGTATCCATGACTGGTTTGGCGAAACAGATTTTCTGCAGATCCGCCGGGGTGTATGGTTGTACATCGTCCCATCTATTTTGTGACAGCTCCTTATTCTTAACATCGGCGAACAGCTCTGTAACCCACCCCTCTAGCTCGTCCAGTGATTCGCGACCCAGCACAACTAGTTTCATACGGTTTGCCGAGTAATTTGTTTCGTAGAATCGGATGAATTCATCACGTACGTTAACACCACGTGACTGCGGCCCGTCCCTCAACGTTTGCAAGTTTCCAGTGGAAAAATGGTGGTAGGGGTGTTTGGGATTAGAAAGTGATTTGTTGAGCTGCATAAGCCTCCAGGCATCATTCTGGAGGTTCTTTTTATTCTCTGAATCCACGGCCCTGAGCTCGCGGTCGAGAGTAGACTCTAGGAATAGTGGAGCGATGAAGAACTGAGCAAATCGATCAAGGGCGCCATAAAGCGGGGGGACCAAATCGCTGGTCGAGGATGCTGCGCTGTCGGCCACAGTAGTAGTAGCAGGTAGGGTCGACCTTGAAAGGCCATCCGTCAATGGTTCCACCTCTGCGGGTGTTGACGGGGTGGTCGGAGTGGTCGCCTGGGCGTTTTTGGAAAGCGTAGTTGCTGTGGCGGCTACTTCAAAGTAGTAATTCGTCTCCGTTGCTGCAGTGTATGCGTTTGAATGTCCAGAATGTGCTGCTAGGTACTGGTTATAAGCATTTTCTTTTGGGTACTATACGGCAAAATTCACGAGTTAGTTTTCTTTATCTTCTCAGATGTGTCAATTATACGTCATCTCAGCAGACACAGGTTAGACGGCTTCACCTTTTTAGTTCCCATAAAAAGAGCATGTTCTACAGCATGAGCAATTCCTGGGAGGTCATCATCGTCTGAAAAATTCCCAACGTTGACGTTAACCGAAGCGCTCGCCTTATCCGTCTCAGGATCATGGACAAGCAAAGCCTCGAGCTTATTTGGAAGGCGGATAACACGATAGGAGCGATCGTCGACAGAGGGTTTCTCGAGGTCCTCAGCAAGGCGTTCAACTATTGCCATAGTGTGCTGGGGCTTTTGATATAGAGGGTGAACTTGATGCTGCTGTTGCTGTTGCTGTTGTTGTTGGAGCAAGAGGAAAGAGGCAGAAGAACTGGAGGATAGGTGGCGTCGTCTGGAAGAAAAACAGGAACGAGCGAGGGAATTATTGAAAATCGAATGAGGGAACGCAATGCTGGGGATCTTATGCAGAGATATGAGCCTGGGATATGGGATATGGAATCGGAAATTCCGTGGCGGTAGGGAGCGGGTTGGGATGCTGGTGAGTACCGTAGTGGTGTTGATCAAGCGAACCAGAGGCCTTGAAGACATGCGACAGACCGGGAAACAGGACAAGAGAAGACAAGTGGCTAGGCAAGATGACACAAGCGCAGCCTAGGTCTACAACAAGATCAAAGGGAGAGCGAGCACAGAGGGAGACCAGGCGGGGGAGAAATGAGTGTCAATGTGGGAGAATAATGGTTGCGCAAGATGAATGTGAATGAATTGAAACGAGCGAAGTGATGTAATAATTCAATACAGTCCAATACCCGCCCTGGTACCGAATATTACGGATCTTAGACGAACCTAAGGAGTTTTTCTGCCGCCTTATTCTTCCTGAAAGAGAAAGCGGCGTGTGTTCGGCAAGTGGCTGATGACTCAGCCAGCACAAAGCCGAATTTCATCCTTTCATGAGGAAATCTCAACCGCCGCGGCTTTGCTAATAATAAAGTCATAGATCGGTTTCAAGAGTACAACATATCATCCTGGCGGAGATCCCCTGGACTTACATAACTATATGCTCGATATGGTAACTATCACACGCCGGGACTCGAACTCGTTCGACTCGAGCAAACAAAATCAGCCATCAATCCATTGCCGGTTTTGCCCCAGAGATCTCCTTAGGAACTTGTCCTATGTTACCCCAACCGTTGCAAGTGCCACAGAAAAGCTCCTACAGAATATATGTATGTACATACATGTACCATTCCCAGCCATTCTTCTACTACCACAATACACCAAATGCCGTCGGGGAAAATTTTTGGTCATACATGCCAGAACTATAGACCAAAAATAAGTTTTGTGAAAGCGAGGAGTCAGGCACTTGAACACGCACTTGAACTCGAACGATCCTTCATCCGCCCCTGTCACTAGGCGACATTACATGTGGCAATGAAAAGGCCATTTTCAATCAGCGTAGGACCGCATTTGCTTCCCAGAATTACCTTGACTGGTGTTAAAGATAGGCCGGGAAAGCGGACCCCTTTAAACCTCGCTCAGATTATCCCCAGTTAACAGTCGAATGAATATCTTCTTCCGTGTAGGACGGGGCACAGCTTTAGGTGACAGGGACACACACACACACACACACACACATATATATATATATATATATATATATAGACATTGTTTATGCAATGATTGAACGAGTTACTGAGTGGGGATCCGTTTTATCCCTCTCATACCTCTGGATATTTCCCCATGAAATGTTGCAGTTGTGGGAATGCAGTCTGACGAAGCTAACTCCAATGAAACAAAATTCTTTCTCCCATTGTTCCCTTGTTTTTCTTTTTTTCTCTTTTTTCTCCGACTTAAATAGACAACAATATGACAAGGAAGTTCCCCCACTGTCAACAGCCATTTCTTTATTAGCAACAAAGCCAGCGGGGTCAGAAAAAGGATCAAAGGCCTGACGGGGTTGCAGACTTGTAATTTATTTATTATTGCATACACTGCTCTACGATACCCGTCTCAACATTGATTAAGTGTAGGATCCTAAGAATGAATCTATAGAGAAGTAACAGATGTAACATCACTCTTTAAGCCCTGGGCTTGCTAGATCAGCCATATTACTAACATCCACGAATAGCTTAGGAACTTACGTATCTACAAACAGACGTCAGTAGCAGTGAAAAAGGAATAGAAGGATACTTAAGTATGAGTGAATCAAAACTGTAGGCGATACTGCTACTCAATAATTACTTGATATTATTCAAGGGCAGAAGAGTTGACATTTGCGGAAACTGGGAAACCTGTCTGCTTAATAATCAACATCCAGAGAGCTCAAGGAATTTCTCAGGACTATTATATTTAAACACCAATAAAATACAAAAATGAATCTGTAGTGCAAGCAACAACAGCAACGTAACCTATCAGACAAGATAGTAAAGAAGGCACTGGGATATGAGTGCAGCCCTTGCAGCTGTACTCTGTCCTTCCTATTTTAATTTTTTCAGAGGCAAACGTGTTGTTCGTTCTTTGAAAGGGTTGTGCTTCGCTCAGAGAACCTCATACTGCATATATCAACATTCAAGACTATTCAACATGCAGCATATTCCCACTCCTCCTTCCCGAAGTCTAAGAGTGGCTCTTGAGGGCTGTGTATGTTTTACTTCCATCTTGGCTATACTGATGTTAACATCTTCGTGTGATACTGGAATATTGGGCTAATCGCAACCAGGGACACGGGAAATTGAATGATATATACACGTCAGTCACCAGAGCGGCAGAAATCAAGGGCTGGGATGGCGTTGACCTTCTCATCATTGGTGGCGACTTTCAGGTGAGACCATTTCCCTCCTCTTTAGGCTCTTACACATATGTTTGCTTCCGTTGTTCTCATCCATTCCTCTCCGCTAGGCAGTGCGCAACTCGTATGACTTGAGCTGCATGTCAGTCCCGCAGAAGTACAGACAGATTGGAGATTTCCATGAGTATTACAGTGGTGCCCGTGTCGCCCCCTATTTGACCATCTTTGTTGGCGGAAACCACGAAGCCAGCAATCATCTCTTTGAGCTTTATTATGGAGGTTGGGTCGCCCCTAACATTTACTACCTTGGCGCTGCCAATGTCATCCGCTGTGGACCTCTTAGAATCGCCGGTATCTCGGGTATATGGAAAGGGTATGACTATCGGAAACCTCATTTCGAGAGGCTCCCGTATAACCGCTCCGATATCCAGAGCATTTACCATGTCAGGGAACTTGACGTGCGCAAGCTGCTTCAAATCCGGACCCAGGTTGATTTGGGTCTAAGCCATGACTGGCCTCAGGGTATTGAATGGCATGGTGACTTTCAAAAGCTGTTTCAGAAAAAGCCATTGTTTGAACCAGACGCCAATTCAGGGAGATTAGGCAGCGTTGCTGCGAGATACGTTCTGGATCGCCTTCGGCCACCCTACTGGTTTTCTGCACATCTCCACTGCAAATACACTGCAAATTTAATACATGGCGACTATAAGCCAGCGGGATTGAAAGATAGATTTGCTTCGAACCAGCAACCCCACCAGCCACAGCTGGGAGGCGATGCTGGCGCCTCGCCATCTATTATTGCCGATGAACCAGCTGAGGTGTCGGGGTCTACAAATGAAGGCATAAGATCTACTCCTGTCGTCGAAGAGGTGTCTAATGCACTGCGGATATCACCAAACGAACCATCGACAACGATCACAGGCACGGCAATGAGAGAGGAGACAATATTGTCAACCCCCGGCGGCGAAACGGAACCCACAACGCTATCAACAGAGGGCATCGAAAGTATTCCACAGCAACAAAATCCTACTCAACGAGCAGAACGTGAACGTGCGCAGCTATCAGCCTGGCAGAACTTCCACTCAGTTGCAACTAAAAATGATGCTGAGGAGGGGGCGCGCCTCATGGAAGAGGCAGCAGACTATGAAAAACAGGTCGAGGCTGGGTTTATAAGTAGACCGGAGGTAAATTACCAGCTAACGTGGAAGAAGATTGGGGTTAAGGACGATGGCCTACAACGCGAAATTGAGGATGTTGCAAAAATCGGGTATGACTCGCAGGAACCTGGGAAAGTTACGGAACAAGAGGAAAGAGGCGGGGTAACTACGGTTAGGAATACCGATGAGATCGATATTAGTCTTGATAGCTCATCTGAAACTTCGGAAAAACTTGAGCAGGAGGATACGACGAGCGCTATGCCGAAAAATACGGATGTAATGGAAATTGACTCCGGTACTTCATTTGAGAAAGCGGAAGTAGCACACATCCAAACCCCTATAGCAACCGCGAATGCGACTGGGGCTCTACAATTGGACGATATCCCTGCCGACATTTTAGACCAACTACCAGCAAGTTTCAGGAAACCACAACCAGTTCCGGGTCATACTCCCATTTTCGAGCCTACCCTACCGGAGGCCATCAAAAATACAGTAACCGAATTCCTCGCCCTAGATAAATGTGAAACACGGAGACAATTTATAGAATTGGTCGAATACTCCGCCATCTCATCCCCCGAGGAGGAAGAAATTGGAGAAGAGAGCCGGCCTTACCAATTGAAGTATGACAAGGAATGGCTCGCTATCACTCGAGCTTTCGCTGATGAACTCATACTCGGTGACCCTAACGCCTCCGTCCCACCAAACAAGGGAGATGCCGGTTACAAGCCCGATATCCTCGCTGCGGCGCAATGGGTAGAAGAAAATATCGTCAAACCAGGCAGGATGACCATCCCGCACAACTTCTCCATCACCGCCCCCGTCTACGACCCTGCCATTTCCATAATGACAACCGAGATGCCGCCAGAGTGCACGAACCCACAAACAGCACGGTTTTGCGAACTTGTCGGGATTGAGAATAAGTTTCATGCTAGTGATGAGGAGCGGTTTGCGCGTGCTGATGCAGGGCCGCGTCCGGAGCCTCCTCAGTCAAGGTATGGACAGCGTTCTCGGGGCCATCAGGATGGCTCTGTTCATTCTTTTGGGAGGGGGAGGGGGAGGGGGAGAGGGGGGGGGAGGGAGGGTGGGCGTTGGCAAGGTGGTCGTGGAGGGCGGGGAGGTGGAGGCAGGGGAGGGCGTGGAGGGCGAGGTGGCCGTGGGGGATATTATGGTCCCCCGATATAAAAATACAGAACTGGGACTGCGTGCTCCGCTTTTGAGGTTTCAAGGACATTTTTTTTTCTTTCATTTTACCTCATTTTTCTCTTTATTTTTTCTTTTCATATTGACTTGTTCTGTAATCTGCTTTGAGAATGGGTCACAGGGCAGGCGAAATGGGCTGTGAGATGCTTTTTTCACTCTGCATGTATGACTAGACACGACACTTAACAGAAAACAAATTTATTTGCTGGGTATAGTCAACGATTTCATCACTGGTTTAGGGGGATCTAGCTTCCCTGATAGAGCCTGATAGATACCCCATGATCGGAGGCATCGATCCCAATCACCTACCCTAACGAAAAACCTCCACTCGATGAATCGTTCATTATTGTGCTCAAGGAAGGCAGCTTAAGCCGAATCAGAAGTATGATGGGTAAAGCCCTCATCTTATGCTCAGGAAAGATAGTACTTTGGCATTCACAGCGGGTCTGTCTGTATATATGCCAACAAGAAAAGACCACTTCATTACATACATGGAATAATACATATGGCATTCGCAAATACTAAAACGCAATGCCCGCATGCACCCTCCCCTACGAGCAGACGGCCTATTCAATTTCCTCGATCCTTGGCCCTTGCACCGACGGCTGACCTGCACTCTCATCACCACCCAGATGCGGATGAATCTCCAATCCAGCCAAACGATCCCCCAACTCGAACCTAGGTTGCTCATCCATGCCCTCACGAGTTCTTACTCCCCACAACAACGACTTTTCAAGCCATGCCTCTAAGCTCTCGATAAGCACTCGTATGTGCCCACGGACGATAGGGTCAGTTTCGTTACTTTCCACGAATGTTAAGATGCGGAGACAATCGGGTATGTTGCCGATGGCTCCCTCGTTCGGATACCTTTGTTGATCGTTGTTGAAGCCCACAGACGGGTTACTATTGCTATTGCTATTACTATTATTATTATAATAGGAGAATCCGAAACCGAGGTTAATCCCGCTTTCCCTGGCTGCGTCGAGCACCTTGACGAGATCAAGAAGTAGAATGACGGCGGCTCGTCGCAGGATGACACTCTCGCGACCCCGCTCAAGGTTCAGAGTTGATAGTGCTAGATCAACAGACGAGGATGCAATGGACGGCCCAAGACCTGCGAGGTTTGTCTGGATGGCTGATGCGAGGATAGACATAGCGGATGCCCGAATGCGTAGATCATCCGGCTCTAGGTCAGACGCAGCTCCGGCAGCCCATGCATCGATTATATTAGCGGAGTAAGCTGTGAGAGCTGGATTTTCTGCCTCTGGATCCATTGCTTCGTCAATCTGCTGCATTAAGTCTGCAGCTTCACGGTCTAGTGCATCGTCTTCCGTCTCCGCCGGTTGCGTTTTTGATTTCTTCTCCGCCATTTCCTCTCTGGCCCGTTTTGCGGAAGGCTTCCTGCCGCGCCTCCCCGCTACTGCGATCATGGTTTCGCCGAGTGTTCTGGCCGTGTTCTCGACCAATGCATTTCCTAGCTCCTGGACCGTCCGCAACAATGCCTCCCCGATTCTCAATCGTTGATCGAGGCTATGTTGTTCGCTTCTATCTGCATAACGCTCTGCAAGGGTCTTAATTACTGTACGTGGGTGCTTGGACGCAAGAACTCCAATAATCTTAACAACATTCAGGTAAATAAATTCATCGTTTGATGACGATTCGGCATCTGAATTGGTGATTAAAGAAAGGAGAAGTGAGAGGGTGGCAGGTATATCAAGGACTGGTGACGATTGGGTGATCAGACGTGAGAGAAGAGTAAGCCCTTCTGCCTGTATTGGAGGTAACTGGGATGAGATATGTTCGAGAGCTTTGCGATGTGTTTCCAGGTCCGATATCCGTGAAGAAACTGCCTCGGACTTCCGTTCAGCAGGCAATGAAGAGGAGAGAGTGATTTCAGCAAGCATTGACGCGGTGGTTGCAGGTTGTACAAGGGGAGGCGGCAAGAGGGGTAGTAGCGTGTCCAACTGGAATTTTATTCTTTGAATAATTGAAGACAGTGTTTCTGACAAGGAAAAACCGGGAGAAGTGAGGATGGTAGAAAGAAGACTGAATGCAGCCGATAGAGACTCGGATTGCTCTGGATTATCGCTTTCAGTAACCTCCTGGTTCTCAACGATGTTACTTAAAAACCGAAATGATGAATTCTTCGATTTCCCGCGGGCTTTGTTTGTCCTCAAAACGACCTCGCTTTGTATCAACTGCTCGATGATTCCCAATATCTTGTCAGGGTGCTGTGATAAACCATTTTTGAACTTGTTGAGCAATTTCTCCGTGAATTTCGCACTGGCCAGCTTCTGCAGAGTGATATGCATATCCTCACCAGCTTGCAAAAGTTCTGGCTTGTTCTTGTCGTGTTGTTCTGAAGACCCAAGTAGCCATTTCTGGCTAACGTGGAGAAAAACATCACCAGCAAGCTCCTCGGATTGGGGGTCCATGGCCAGCAGTTCTAAGACGCTATCAATGCGGTCATCCAAAATCTTCACGAGAAGCATTGCATTGAGTGTTTCCTGAGCTAGAGATTCTGTGCGTTTTCTAATCGAAATGCCGCCTTTTTGGCCGGGGCCAAATGTCCAGGTACTTCCTCCGTCCCACAGTATATTATCGGACAGTTTCTCGTATCTTGATATCCCAGCTGACACACTGAAAAAGGTCTGCAGGAGCCTAGAGACTTTGCCATACCAGAATGATTTTCTATGCTCTCTGGCGTAGCACCCCAATGCCCATAGCGGAAGTAAGACAGGTTGAACGAGCCGTTTTAAAAGGCCGGGATTTGGGTGTAATAAAACTAGAGCGCTCAGCCTTGTAATGGATAGGAGCAACTTTGGTTCATCTATGAGGACTACGCCCTCCAAGTTATCTAGTGGGCTTCCTGTTAATGCAGAGCCATCTGACGAAAACCTTCTCAGCCACGCAGCAACCTCGTTTGTCATATTGCCATGGAGTGAGTCGAGGATAGGTTTCACGAATATCCTATAACCAATCGCACCTGGCTCTCCAAGAGCCCGTTTTGCGAGTATTCCACTACCAATCACGTACGATGCCGTTTTCTGAAAATCCGGTTCATCCCCATCTAAAAGCGCCAGCAATTTTGGAGCAGTATTACAGAAATAGTCGTCCGCCGAAATTCCTTGAGGAAGTGAGGAAAGTAAACGAGATGTTTGCATGATAGCTTGCACGGTGATTGGAGGACCTTGAGAGGGCGCGGTATCCGCAGGTTGTTGCCCCAAAACCGGTGCAAATTGGGAGGCTATAAAAAGAACGATTTGGAACACACCATCTTTACGTAAAGGAACCTGCGATAGCTGAGAAGAGATTATGTTTTTGAACCATGACGCAGAACTTGTTTGGACAAACGATGAGAGGAGCGTTAGCAACGAGGGTGTTGGGGATCTGGATGGAGATATTTAGCCGACACATACATATAGAAACATAAATTAGTGCCTTACTCTTCAATGATCGTTTGAAATAGTTCCCTATATGTGGTAATTTGCTTCTGTGGCAGAGAATGTGAATGAAATGCGAGCTCCGCGGTAGCACACAATATATCAGCGAGAATTCTTCCCATAATTATCGGTTGAATACCAGAGTGTTTATCACAAACAACGGGCCTTAAAGTGTCTATTATAAAAAGTAATAGACGTTCATCGTGTGGTTTGTTGGCGGAAGTCGCTTCTGCCTGTGTTGCAACAACGCCAGTGGGGAGAACAGACAGAACCCGTTGCTGAAGCGGAATCCCAACTCCCTGGGATAGTGCAGGGTATATGCCCTCAAGGGAAATGAGATCAAGTAGGCCATGGATCACCCGTCGCCGCCTGGTATCTTCAAGAACGGGGTCTTCTCTGCGTCCATTTCTTTTGGAATTTTCGATCCCAACGTCCAGACTTGAATCAATATAGGCACGATGAATTGTCACAAGAAGATCTAGTGCCCGTTGAATCACATGAAAAGTAGTGCTGTCATCTTCTTTGCCTTGAACTGGGATTTTTCGAGCTAGAATTTGGACGAGAGAATCGCCGCGAGATTTCTGTATCTCCTCTTGAAGAGAGTTAGCTGCGTTTGGATGAGTTAGAAGTTAAGGTTGCGTGCCTCTTTTTAAAACCGGGTTCAAAAACTCATGCGCGTCATCAAATATCTTCATGAGCTGCCCCGAACTGCCCATTTTCATAGCCCTGCAGTAACAATATCTCTACAGATTACGGCGGCGTATGTTCGATGGACCATTTTGATTCTATGTATCAAATTAGAAAATGACGTATTGGCCGACATGTCACGTGAATTTAGATCGCGCTTGCCTTACCGGAAAAACGTAGGCTTATTATACAACCGGGTTATGGTTGTTCCGCCATGCCAGTTGCCGACACCATTGCCGAACTGTAAAACTTAATATAATGGTGGATTAGCTGTGAAATCACTGTAAATGAGTTATGAATAGAATAAAATCATCATTGTATTGACAATATCACTGATTTCTATCTATATAATTATTAATTCTAAAAAATGTCTCATTCACTAAAATCATCTTCTATTAGAAATCTATTATATCTGTCACGCTCCCGGCCGCGCCAAGGCCCCGTTGCGGTTCCACACGGCCCATCGCTTCCATGCGGATGATTCCATCCCATCCAAACCGGTTTCCAACCACCCTATGACATCATTCAGATATATCATAGGAAGATCCGATTGATGGATATGAGAACCCCGCTTCTATACAAGGTCAGCAGATTACTCTTTCTTGATAATAAGACACTGCTGAGGTATCACTCCAGCTATTCTTACTTATGAAATGAGAGAAGGATATCTACTCATTGTCTATATAGAATAGCTAGATGCTGACTTCTTATCAAAGAAGTCAGTGATTTGTTTTTCTTCTACTGAAATATATATAAGAGTTACTGTATACTCTATACAATCTTCTTAGTATACTAAGTATCATATCTGTGATATTCTTGTAATAACTCTGTAGTCTACAAGCTCACTATTCAAGTAAGATAGTCAAGCTCACTTATATAACTTCTTAAACAACTACTTCTATATAATGTCACTGACTAGTTACTGCTTCAGTTCTATTATATTACAATTTGAATCACTCAATCTGATTATACATTTGAATCAGTCAAGCTCTAATAGACTGATATAATCTTATACACTTATACTGAGACTAATCTGATCTCATTCTCTGAAAGAAATACTACATTATTTTCTAGAGTATGTACATCTCTACTTTAGCAGAAATCTGAGATTTCTGAACTCACTGTATATTTTGATATGAGCTTTTTAACTACTCTATCACTGCTGTGGCCTCTACACATCTACATCTATTATGAAGATAGAGAGATTAAGATCAGAGATTCTCTGAGATATAAGAGAAATATCTTGTCTGAATTTCACAGCTTTACTCACACTCTTGAACAGAAATTCCATCTTAACTTAAGTCAGTATAATACTCATGAGATATAAGTAATATACACTGTCAATCTTCTTAAAGACATCTCTACAACTACTTGAGTTATTAAGAAGAGAAAGCTTAAATATATCAATACTGTTATAACTTAGAAAGAATTCAAGAACTTTCTATTAAATCAAATTAAAGATCACTGTAATCACAGCTTTACAGCAGCACAGCAGTTCAACTTATTATATTAATAAGATAATAAGAATTCTTTCAATTTCAATATAAGATTTGAAGAATATTGAGAGAAACTGACTGATAATTTGAATTAATTAAAAACACAGCTTTATCTCATGAAGCTGACTTATAAGATACAGATAATAATATTATAATATCAGAGTTTATTAACTAATTATACTAAGCTTGTCAATCTGACTTTCTGAATCTATTTGAATAATCAATTCTCTGAGAAAAAGATTAATAAAATCTCTTCTAAGTAATTAATAATAGAATCTAAACAGTGTTATAACAGCTTCAGTGTGAAGAAAGTAAAGAAGAATTTCAAGTATTCTGATTCTTCACTCACTGTGAAGAAATATTAAAAAAGATTTAATAAAGATCTCTGTTTCAACTGCAGAGCTGATAATTACTATGTCAGTGATTATAAGAAGCTGAAGAAGAGAAGAAACTGAGAAGATATCTTCTTAAAGTTAACTTCTCTTCTGATAAATGTATTTATAAAAGATAAAGAAGAGAAAGAAAAGAATTAATAATTCTCACATTTTCAAGTTTATATTACAATCATAATATATATCTTGAATGAGAAGATATCAGTGAGATATCTACTTAACTTCAGAGTGAATACTAACTTCATATTCTATTTCTTTTCTTTGATAAAGAGTTAAAAGAAGATAGATCTGTCAGATCATATAAAATTTACTGATAAAATAAAATATCATTATTTTAATATAATTTAAGCAAAGTGTGTAATTACAGACTTAGAAGAAATCTTTAAGAAGAGCAGTCTGCTTCTTCATACAGTTAATATTATAAATGAGAACATTATTCTAGATCTTCTGTGATTGAGAGAAAACAATTCTCTCATTGACTGAGTTACTCAGATATGACAGTACTGTCTCACTAATAAAGAGATAGTAATAGAGAAATCTGAAGAGTTTCATCAGAAGAATCTTGAGAAAAAGATTGAGTCAATATACTATATAGCAGATGATTAAGACTTGAGAATAGATGAAGAAGTTATCACTCTCACTGCAAGATTAGCAGCAGTATTTATTATTAAAGATAGACATACACAATATCTCTTTACAGATTTTAAAAATGTCTTTTCAGAAAGAGAAGCAGCAAAGTTTCCTGATATCAAGATATAATATAAGATTTGTCTTGAAAATGATATAACAGTGTTATACAGATCTCTTTATAACTTATCTATAAAGAAATTGAATATTCTGTATAAATATCTTGAAGAAGTGTAATTAAAGAACTGAATACATTTATCAAAGAGTTCAGCAGAAATGTCTATACTCTTTATACTCAAGAAGAATGATAGACTATATCTATGCATAGACTACAGAGATCTTAATAAGATGACAGTTAAGAATTACTATTCATTATTATTAATTAATGAGATGATTGATCAATTATCTGAAGCAAAGATATTCTCAAAGATTAATATACAGAATATCTATCATAGAATCAGAGTTAACAAAGACAATGTTTGAAAAACAGCTTTTTATATCAAGTACAGCAATTTTGAATATCTTGTTTTATCTTTTAATCTTTGTAACACTTCAGCCATCTTTCAGATCTATATAAATGAGATACTACAGAGTCTTGTCAATGTCTTCTGTATAATATATCTGAACAATATTTTAATCTTCTTAAAATCAGAGAAAGAATATAATATTCATGTTTAAGAAGTATTGAGTCACTTGAGACAGTATTAACTCTATACAAACACTGAAAAATGCTCATTCTACATACAGGAGATTGATTTCTTAGATTATATTATTGAAGTGAATGACATTTCAATGAATAGAAGCTAAGTCTCTGCTATTGAGAACTGGCCAGTATCACAGATATACTGTGAGATACAGATGTTTCTAGAATTTATAAATTTCTACAGATAATTTATCTATATATATTCATAGATTACTGTCTCTCTTACAGATCTGTTGAAGAGAAGTGTGAAAGACAGAAAAATAGAATTATTTATTCTCACTCAAGACACTGTGCAGATGTTTGCAGAATTGAAACAAGCTTTCACAGATATTATAATACTGAATCATTTTAACTCTGACTTACTCAGTCAGTGTGAGACTGATGCATTTAGAAATGAAATCTATGAAATCTTTTCACAGTTGACACTGAAGATCTTTCAATATTGAAAGAATCAGAGAATAATCATTTCTGAGAAAACAGATAATGAATTGTCTGTAAGAGAAGACTTTTTCACAGAGTCTATAAGATGCTGTGAATGAAGATCAGTGACCTTCTTCTTCAAGAAGTTATCACTTATATAGAGAAGATATGATACTCATGATTAGAAGATGTTAGCAATTATTAAATTCTTTAAGATCTGATAATATTATCTTCAGAATAGTAAGTACTCAGTGTAAGTTCTCACTGATTATATAAATCTGTGTTACTTCTTGACAATAAAGAGCTTGACAGAACATTAAGTCAGATGAGTGAAGCTGCTTTTGAAGTATGATTTCTATATCTAATACTATTCAGATTGACTTAATCCCGCTGACACACTGTCTAAATAACTCAATTATAATATTGTTAATGTGAAGAAGAATTCTATAAAAGAATCTCTGTTATCACTGCAGAAGAAGCTGGCTGTAGAGAGTTGAGATTCTCTAAAGCTCAGAAACAGCACTGAAGAGGCAGCTATGTGACTTAGTATAGAAGATGAAAGAGAACTCAGGTCTCTGTAGAGAACTGACACTGAAGATTATAAGCTTCTCATATTATATCTTACAATTATTGAATTGACAAAGAACAAAATAATCTACAATCTTTCAATTTAACTACTTTTAGAATTCATTAATGAGTTATAGAAGAAGAACATCTCTACTACAGCTTAAATTCAGAAGTTGAAGAAGAAAGAATCTGATTTGAACTTGAAAGAGACAGACTCTGAGCAGAGCAGTGCTGCTAAGAAATCAAGTCACTGATAACTAGAAGAATGTGAACTTCTACTGCTGAATGATTCAGTCTTCATCTCTCATAGCAGAGCAGTGTGTCAGAAGTTATTGAGAATTCATCATAATAATTTCCATGCAGGACACTTTGAGTTAGAGAAGACTGAGAAGCTTCTAAAATATAAATATATTTAAGACAAGCTCTGAGCAGATATCAAAGAGTATATTGAAACTTACAATATCTATTAAAGAATAAAGATCTCACAGTATAAGTAATACAGTGAGTTGATATCACTGCCTGTTTCAAAGAGCTTATAGCAGAATCTATCAATGAATTTCATAGTTGACCTGCTGAAGTCAACAAGAGTTAAAGAATATGACTCAATTTTGATCATTATTAATCACTTCACAAAGATAATCAGATATATTTCTACTTATAAAAAGATTAAAGTCTCTAAATTAACTGATCTGTTTTTAGATATTATCATTCATGATCATAGTGCTCTGAAATCATTGATAACAGATCAAGAATCTCTCTTCATCAGTAAATACTGATCAGCTTTTTACTATTATCTTATAATAAGACATCTTCTCAGTATCGCATTTCATTCACAGACTGGTAGTCAGACTGAACATCAGAATCAGACACTAGAACAGCATCTTCAAGTGTTCTATTTATATTATCAGAATAATTGACTCAAACATCTTCTAATCACTGAATTCATATATAATAATGTAAAGAATGTAATCTTAAAGATATCTTCTTTCTATGCTTTTATGAATATAATTCTTCATTACTCAGTGACATCACAGACAACATTTCAAAGAGAGAAATAGACAGTCAGAATATCAGACAGATACAGAGAACAGAGTATTTCTCAGTATCAGAAGTAAAAGTAAGATTGAAACTTTTAAATAAAATTCATGAGAAGGTGATGAAAAGTATTTATCACACTCAGAAGTAGTAGATAAAATACTATAATTAAAAACATCTTTCAATGAAGTTCTTAATAAAGAATCAAGTACTACTTTTAGCAAAGAATATCAAGATAATAAGACTGTGTAAGAAGCTCAGTAAGTAGTGACTAGAATCTTTCTCAGTAACAAGAGTGATGAGTAAGCAGATATATGAGTTAAAATTACTCACAGAATTGAAATCAATTCATCCTGTTTTTCACATTTTCTATTTAAAGCTTTATAAGCAATATCTCAGAATGAAGTCATCTCAGCTGAATAACATTGAGATTGAGAGTGATACTGAATATCTTATGAAGAAAATATTGAATAAGTAAATATATTACAGCAAGCTTTAATATCTTATTAAATGAGAAGATTATTTATCATCAGAGAATTCATGAGAATTACTTGAGTATTTGAAAAATACTGAGAAAGAGATTACAAGCTATGAGACAGCTAGTAGAGACTGCTTTATTACATATTAGAGATATTGAGTAAGAAATATTACTTAAGACTTCTCATTTTTTTCAAAGAGTTTTTTAGAGATAATCTTATAGTGATGAGTTGATGTCTTGTAGACTCTGTAACACTCTTCTTCTATTTTCTCTCAAAGAGTTTTTTAGAAGTTTAATAAGACTATACAAGTGTAAAATTCCTGAAGCAGTTAGAGAAAAGAGATATTTGAAACCAATAAAAAAGATTAATATTATTGACTCATGAGTCACTGCTATTCTAGTGAGGCTGCAGCTCACTGAAAAAGTAAAAAGAAGAAATCTCAGAGCCTACTTATTAATAATCACACTCTTATCAAACTCATTCTTCACTGTTGAAGTCTCTGACATCAGCATCTTTATCTGCTGAGAAGTTAGCACTGCAGCACTGCAGAAGAGCATGAGAAATGTATAAAATATCAACTTATCAACTTATAAAGTATCTCAGTTATCTGCTTCAACTGAAGTGAGATTCTCTTTAATCAGTAATTAATCTCTGTGACACTTTCAACAGTGACACTGACTGATTTCTTCTTAGAGTCAGTCATTCTGAGATGTTTTTTAATCTCAAAGACTTACACTTTCACCTTCTTTTGCAGATGAGCAAGAGAGATCTTCTCAGTCTTAATAGAATCTGTTAACACTTGAAGCTCTGAGACTCTCACTCTGTACTGCTTAGACATCTGAGCTTCTTATCAGAGTCAACATGACATCTTCTTGTAGAGTAGATAATACTTACAGAAAGATAGAAGTTATTGTTACAGATACAACAGAAATAATAAGAGTGAGAGAAGAAGTAGATACACAGAATTCCCTTCTTCTTCAGCTGCTTGATACAGTGCAGACAAGTAGCAGTGCTGATCAGAGGCCACACTGAAGCCTTCTTATAAGAAGAAGATGAAGAAACTGCAGGATTCTGCAGACTCAACTCAGCAGCATTCTGAGCAGGGCTCAGATATGCTGTGAGAGAGAAACTACAGATTGAGCTTCTCAGAGCCACTGTTTCCAGAACTAAGCTCTTCCCAGGTTTCTCTCTGAATGATCACACAGGGTCATACATCACTGTATTGACTGAGAGGGAGGGCAGCATTGTAACAGTGATGAGAGAAGCAGAGAACAGACTGAACACAGACAAACTGACTGACAGAAGAGATGACATCTCACTGCAAGACACAGTGACTACTGCCACAGCTGCAAAAGAAGCAGAAGAAGAAGAAGATATGATAATGAGAGCAGTGCTTCTGCAGCTCATTGACACTGCTATCTTCATCTTCAACCTGACTTTCTTGACAGTCATGGAGGCCACCGCTGCACCACAAAGACATTTATTCACTAGAAAACATCAGAATAAGCCCTCTACCGTCCTTCAAGAATAATACTCTCATGCACTCACTATTGCAGATGAGGGAGAGAGAAGAAAAATATATCACAGAGAAGAGAGATCTTTTTGAAAAAATCCTGCTACTACTGTTAGCTTTGTCTCTAAAACACATCACTTTTGCAGGGAATTTCATATATAGAATGAAATATGTTGAAAGATCTGCAAGTCACTTATTAACTACATTTTTCACATTTCAAATCAATATATAAGAAACTCACTTATCACATGTTTGATTTGAATGAAGATGAGAAAAGAAAGACCTACATAGTCAGCAGAACAACTTATCTATTTCTTTATACAGTATACACACTATCAATTGATTGACAATCATTGCTATATAACAAAGATAATTTCTAATTCAGTAATCTTAAGAGCATCAGAACTATGCTCTTAAAGAGAAGAGTATTATCATGCTTCTAACTGTGTCAAGACTCTGTTACAGTTTCACACAGCTCATTGCTTTCATGTGAATAATTTCATCTCATTTAAACCGGTTTTCAACCACTCTATAACATCATTTGAATATATCATAGAAAGATCTGATTGATGAATATGAGAACTCTGCTTCTATACAAGATCAGCAGATTACTCTTTCTTGACAATGAGATGCTGCTGAGGTATTACTTCAGCTATTCTTACTCATGAAATGAGAGAAGAGTATTCACTCATTGTCTATATAGAATAGCTAGATGCTGACTTCTTATTAAAAAAGTTAGTAATTCATTTTCCTTCTACTAAAATATATATGAGAGTTACTGCATGCTTCATACAATCTTCTTAGTATACTAAGTATCATATCTGTGATATTCTCACAATAACCCTGTAGTCTATGAGCTCACTATTCAAGCAAGATAGTCAAGCTCACTTATACAGCTTCTCAAACAACTACTTCTACATGACACCGCCGACTAGCCACTGCTTCAGTTCCGCCACATTACAATATCTTTCTGTAATTTCTCTCAGATTCTCTGAATCATCTCTATATTATTATTATTACTTTCTATCATATTCACATTAATATTTATTTCAGAGAACTTGTAAATTAATATTAAAGTTTAGAAAGAGTCAGTATTAATGATTATTCACTATTTAAAAGAGAAGATTTTAAGAGAATTAGAAGTTATATATTTACTCATCTATATTATTATTAACTTCTGTATAAATCTGAAAATTATTTTATCAATTCTAACTTACTTTTCACTGAGAATATTAAGAGTTTCAGTGCTGCTTATAGTCAGAGAATTAATCAGAGTTAGAAGATTAAAGAAGAAAGAGAGAGAAGAATCAACAGCAGTAGTAGAGATATTAGTAAAGAGAGTAGAAAGAGAATTATTACTATTATTAAATTTCTCATTACTACTACTACTATTACTGACTGTGACTGAATTCTTATCAAGATAATCTATAAGTCTCTGAACATACTTCATTATTTCATACATTTCAATATTCAGTATTAATATTATTTATCAAATTTATAAGATTCTTCATCACTGATTTTTATTCTTTAATATAACTAACTATCATTCTCAAAAGCTTATAATACACTTTAAGTTTAATAGTTTTAATATTAAGTTTTATCTTTTTAATTATGATTTTCTTCTTTTCTATGATAACTTTTTTCTTTTTAATTTTTAATTTCACTCTTTCAATATTTAACTTAATCTTCTTAATCTTAATTTTAGCTTTTTCAGCAGTACTGATAATAATATTCAGAGCTTTCAGAGCAATAGTAATACTTTTTATATATTAAGTTTTTACTTTTTATTAGTGAGTTTTAACTTTCTTAATCTATTTTAAAAAATTCTTCACTAATTTCAATATAGCTCTCTTTATTATTTTCTTAAAATTATCTAATATAGAAAGATAAAAGTTATAAGTTCAGATTAAATTATTAACTTATTCTTTTAATTCTTCAGAGATAATTATATATCTCTTTTTCTTATAATTATAATTTATATAAGACTTTGAGCTTCTCTTCATCTTATTATAAGCAGTATTTAAATAACAGAGAAAAATATACTTAATACAGTACTTATATATTATTCATTTACTAGACTATTTTATCAGAATATTCAGACAGCTGTTTATCTCTTTCTTCTGAGCTTTTACAGCAGTGATATGAGTATACTTAAGTGTGTTATCAGTTATTTTTACTGTTACTGCTGCTGTTATTGCTGATATTACTGATATTAATATAATAAATGAATTACTAATATTCTTAATATACTGTGAATAAGATATCTGTGATGTTCACTCTTGCTACTTCTCAGAGCTTTCGCTTCTTTCTTTCTAAGACTTCTGCTTCTTTCTTCTTTTACTCTATTCTTATTTCTCTATCTGATACTTCTCAGAGCTTTCACTTCTTTCTGAGACTTCTGTCTCTTTCTTTCTGAGACTTCTGCTTCTTTCTTCTGTAAAAGTCAATCACAATAAACAAACAAGCATATATATATATATATATAGACTGGCCGGCGGGATCATGAATTTCACATTTGATCTCATTTGGTCTGGTTTCATACATTTCTTGACGTGAGTCCCACCAGGACCAAGCCTCAAAAAAATCTGAAAATGAACCATTTCTGAGAGAAATGGTGTGAAAAATGACCAGATTTAATTCAAGAACAGTGAAATGAGAGTAATTTCTCAGAATAAACTGTGAAAGATGATCATTCTTTCAAAATCAGAATGAGACTGAAACTGAAGATCAAAATCAGTCTCATTCAGTTCATTCAGTGATTGCTTATATAATCAGAATTTGATAATGATTATTGATAACACTCATGAAACAACTAAATACATTCTTGTGCAAGTTTATTCTTCACTTTCTCATGAAAACTACACTTCTCTGATATGCTGTGATTAGAGGTATTAAACTGTCTGATAATTTCATGTTTTACAATCATGAGTTTCTTGATTATTTCTTCTTGTAATTGTCTCTGATGATAGTGATAAATATCTTGACTTGAGTTGAACTTTCACTTCATTCTCACTCTTGTCAATGAAATTGTCAGAATATCACACATTATCAGTGTAACAGTTGAATATGTACTCTCAACAATTTTTCATAACTCTAGAATTGATTTGATGTGTAAATTCATCAGATTATCTTGAAGATAGCAGTTAAATTCAGTTTTATAAGCATGTAGTTTTGCCTGATTTTCAGTTATAATCAATGTATGTAAGTTCTGTTTCAAAGTTAGTATTATAGTTCTATGAGATATGAAGTATTATCAAAGATTATTACTTACTAGAGAATTGTATTTCACTGTCTTCACATCTTGAATATCTGCTCATTCAAATCTCTGATAGTTGACATTGTAGTAGTCTCAGACTAATTTGATATATGAGTCTTATTTCTTCTCTGTTCAATCTTGAGAAGTGTAGATGTTAACTCAATGAAAGAGATCTAGTAGAGCTGCTACAGTATAGTACTCTGTAAAAGATTGTTCAGTTTTGCTGTAGTAATATACCAGTTTATTCCTTGCAGTAATAATAGCCTGTGCTATAGTATTATCTCAGACTGAATTTCTTTTTGAGTGATTCAACTGCTTCTCAAGATAAGTAAATAAACTGTTATACACTTATCAGACTGACTGCAGCATTGATGTACAAGTGATTGAGACTGTCTTTATTATCTTATAAAACTGAAACAGTAAATCAATCATATATTTCAACTGAGTTCACTTCATATCAGAAAGTTTCAATATCTGAATCTTTTTCTGATCAGAGTGTTGCACTCAATGATCAATTATCTGATACAATTGAAGAGTCTGAACAGCTATCTTATATATTGAACTTCACTGTGTTTTAACATTCTGTATCATATTCAGTGATGTGACTGATTTGCTTGTTTATTGAATATCATGAAATTGTTATTATTGTTTAGAGAAGATATAAATTGCATTAACAATGTTTCAAATCTGTGATATTTAAATTATTAGTCAATCTATTCAAAATTAACAGTAGTATTATTAAAAAGTGTTATCAAAAAGCAATATTAAAAAGTGTTATCAAAAAACATTATCTTTTGTAAAGTAAATGTAAAAGTTACTTGAGTAATCACTTTCATCTCATTCTCATCTCAAGAATCAGTTATCTCATTATTCTTCATCTTGATATTAAGATTCTTTATCAGTGTTTGTATCACAAGTTGAATCACATGAGCAATGCAGAGAATATGACCTTGTTTACTATTTCAGAAATTCAAAGTCAATTTTTGCTTCAAGCTCTTCATCATAGTGTAGTTATTCACAGCATTATCAGTTGTAATTGTAAGAAGACTGAGACTAATATCTCAATAAT